AAAATCGTCGAAAAAAAGTATCAAGCACCCCCCCTTGACAATTTTTTCTTAAGAATGAAAATTTCATCTCTTAGATTTCCATTTAAACTAGTCTATCTTATAGAGAATAGTTTGTAGAATAATCTCTGCGATTTGTAGCTATGTATCTCTTTTAGTTTACGAGATATTCGCGATTAAAAAAAACGTCAAAAATTGCAAAATGTCACTTTTTAGCACTTTTAGTCGCGTTGTTCGACCTTTTACTGTTGGAAATATAATTACTTTGTATTTTTATCTGATAGAGCATTTTTCAATCTTTCATAATCAGCAATTCGTTGGTTCCTATCGCGTTTAGTTTAAGAGATATTAATTATCGAAAATCGTCGAAAAAAAGTATCAAGCACCCCTTGACAATTTTTCTTAAGAATGAAAATTTCATCTCTTAGATTTCCATTTAAACTAGTCTATCTTATAGAGAATAGTTTGTAGAATAATCTCTGCGATTTGTAGCTATGTATCTCTTTTAGTTTACGAGATATTCGCGATTAAAAAACGTCAAAAATTGCAAAATGTCACTTTTTAGCACTTTTAGTCGCGTTTTTCGACCTTTTACTGTTGGAAATATAATTACTTTGTATTTTTATCTGATAGAGCATTTTTCAATCTTTCATAATCAGCAATTTGTTGGTTCCTATCGCGTTTAGTTTAAGAGATATTAATTATCGAAAATCGTCGAAAAAAAGTATCAAGCACCCCCCCTTGACAATTTTTTCTTAAGAATGAAAATTTCATCTCTTAGATTTCCATTTAAACTAGTCTATCTTATAGAGAATAGTTTGTAGAATAATCTCTGCGATTTGTAGCTATGTATCTCTTTTAGTTTACGAGATATTCGCGATTAAAAAAAACGTCAAAAATTGCAAAATGTCACTTTTTAGCACTTTTAGTCGCGTTTTCGACCTTTTACTGTTGGAAATATAATTACTTTGTATTTTTATCTGATAGAGCATTTTTCAATCTTTCATAATCAGCAATTCGTTGGTTCCTATCGCGTTTAGTTTAAGAGATATTAATTATCGAAAATCGTCGAAAAAAAGTATCAAGCACCCCTTGACAATTTTTCTTAAGAATGAAAATTTCATCTCTTAGATTTCCATTTAAACTCGTCTATCTTATAGAGAATAGTTTGTAGAATAATCTCTGCGATTTGTAGCTATGTATCTCTTTTAGTTTACGAGATATTCGCGATTAAAAAAAACGTCAAAAATTGCAAAATGTCACTTTTTAGCACTTTTAGTCGCGTTTTTCGACCTTTTACTGTTGGAAATATAATTACTTTGTATTTTTATCTGATAGAGCATTTTTCAATCTTTCATAATCAGCAATTCGTTGGTTCCTATCGCGTTTAGTTTAAGAGATATTAATTATCGAAAATCGTCGAAAAAAAGTATCAAGCACCCCCCCTTGACAATTTTTTCTTAAGAATGAAAATTTCATCTCTTAGATTTCCATTTAAACTAGTCTATCTTATAGAGAATAGTTTGTAGAATAATCTCTGCGATTTGTAGCTATGTATCTCTTTTAGTTTACGAGATATTCGCGATTAAAAAAAAAACGTCAAAAATTGCAAAATGTCACTTTTTAACATTTTTAGTCGCGTTTTTCGACCTTTTGCTGTTGGTAATATAATTACTTTATATTTTTATCTGATAGAGAATTTTTCAATCTTTCATAATCAGCAATTCGTTGGTTCCTGTCGCGTTTAGTTTAAGAGATATTAATTATCGAAAATCGTCGAAAAAAAGTATCAAGCACCCCCCCTTGACAATTTTTTCTTAAGAATGAAAATTTCATCTCTTAGATTTCTATTTTAACTGGCCTATTTTATAGAGAATAGTTCGTAGAATAGTGTCGGCGATTTGTACCTATGTATCTCTTTCAGATTACGAGATATTCGCGATTGAATAAATCAATAAATTGAAAAAATTTACCGCTAGCCTCCTACGGTGCCCTGAACTAGAGTCACTTTTACCGTCACCAATGTAACGCGACTGCAAATTTTAAAAGTTGGAGTATTTTTTGTAGAATAAGATAATAAAATATATTAACTTCGTGAAGTAAAAGTTCAAAAATTTTCCCAAAATTTTCAATTGCGATTATCTTCAAAACCGTCTTTTCATATATACTGCATTTAATTCTAAATTTTAAATTATATTATCTATACAAATAAGAGAGTACGTTCATAATATAAATTCTTTTCTTTGCCTTAGACTGTATCAACAACATTGGTCTCACTCTTGATTCTGTCAATTGGTGTTTGTGTACAATCAACTTGTTTTGTATCGCGTTGCAGCTCATCCGATGTGTTCAGCAGTGTTTGTTCCACTTCTTACTTAGTCCGATCGTGCGCTGCCGCGTGGTGGGCACGCGTTTATTTGCGCGGCGGTTTTTGTGACGACTTATTGCGTTTCATGTGATTTTAAATCGGTAGTTGCTAGTTTTTTTGAGTTTGCTCGCGATCTAGGCGTCTTACGAACTTCAGCGTGGCATCAAAAGATGCGGAATTAAATTTTCCGTCGGATGGTAAAAGCTTGTTGCCGGAACTCCCCCTGTAACCCTCAAAAATTTGCATAAAATTGTAATTTTTCATGGTTTTTTCGTGTTTGCTCGCGATCTAGGCGTCGCACTAACTTCAGCATGGCGTCAAAAGATGCGCAATTAAATTTTCCGTGGGGTGGTAATAGTTTGTTGCCGGAATTCGCCCTGTAACCCGCGAAAATCTCCATAAAATTGTAATTTTCCATGGTTTTTTCATGTTTGCTCGCGATCTAGGCGTCGCACTAACCTCAGCGTGGCGTCAAAAGATGCGGAATTAAATTTTCCGTCGGGTGGTAATAGTTTGTTGCCGGAATTCCCCCTGTAACCCGCGAAAATCTCCATAAAATTATAATTTTCCATGGTTTTTTCGTGTTTGCTCGCGATCTAGGCGTCGCACTAACTTCAGCGCGGCATCAAAAGATGCGGAATTAAATTTTCCGTCGGATGGTAATAGTTTGTTGCCGGAATTCCCCCTGTAACCCGCGAAAATCTCCATAAAATTGTAATTTTCCATGGTTTTTTCGTGTTTGCTCGCGATCTAGGCGTCGCACTAACTTCAGCGTGGCATCAAAAGATGCGGAATTAAATTTTCCGTCGGATGGTAATAGTTTGTTGCCGGAATTCCCCCTGTAACCCGCGAAAATCTCCATAAAATTGTAATTTTCCATGGTTTTTTCGTGTTTGCTCGCGATCTAGGGGTCGCACGAACTTCAGCGTGGCGTCAAAAGATGCGCAATTAAATTTTCCGTCGGATGGTAATAGTTTGTTGCCGGAATTCCCCCTGCAACCCACGACAATTTGCATAAAATTGTAATTTTCCATGGTTTTTTCGTGTTTGCTCGCGATCTAGGCGTCGCACTAACTTCGGCGTGGCGCCAAAACATGCGGAATTAAATTTTCCGTCAAGTGGTAATAGTTTGTTGCCGGAATTTCCCCTGTAACCCGCGAAAATTTGCATAAAGTTGTAATTTTTCATGGTTTTTTCGTGTTTGCTCGCGATCTAGGCGTCGCACTAGTTAGTTAGTTTTTTATAATTCCTTCGCCTGAAAAGGATGGCTTAGCCTTCGAAATGCGCATCGCGACATTAAAGTTATTTGTGAGACGGGGTTTTTAAACTTCCTATTAGTATTTGCACTTTTGAGGTTTTTTTGTATCACCCTGTATAAAAAATTCCTAATGTTTAGTAAAAATTTATTAATTTTTTTATTATTTTGATGCGATTTTCTTTTTAAATTATAGATTTTCTTTTGGTAACACCCTGTATATAATTTTCCCGGGATGTAACGCGAAAACAGTGCGCAATTTGCTATTTTCTAGTGTTATCGTTTGTAATTTTGCAGCAGTGAGCATAGCGCGGCTATGCAGGTCATAAACATGTTTTAAAATGACGTCATATGTCTTGTAACTATTGAACATACAAGTTATGAACTTATATTGTATTTAGTTTGTTAATAAAGAAATGTTAAAGGCAATGGCTGTATCTTATGACTTGTGCACCCCATCCTTCTATCATTTCAGGTACAGGTCACAACTTGTAAAGTATTTCTCAGTGTTATGGTCCGCTTTGAGAGCGGCGACACTAAGAAATATGTCTACAAGTCCTCAAGGAGTTCTCCCACTCGGGGGATGATCCCCACTATAAAAATTGTTAAGGTATCCTGTATGATTTGAGGCGACTTAAAAATTTGAAATATTTTTACAAGTTCTTAAAAGGATGTCCTTATAAGGAGTTCCCTCTCTCTGGGGATGATCCCCCACCATAAAAATTGTTGATATGCCTGATAATTTCGGGGATGAAGCGCAGAGGCATCGTAGCTGTAGGATGGGCCGGGAGCAATGGACGGATCGAAGCAGTGGGCGATCGACCAGAGCGCCGGAGGCGCTCTGGGAGATCGACCTGTGACTGTCTTATAACGACACGTGCCAAAAAATTTAAAAATTCTGTCACCCCTATTCTCTTTTCTTCCTTTACTCTCTCTTCTTCTTCTCTTCTTACTTCTCCTATACTCTCTCTCCTGCTGCTGCTGCTCGCTCTACTGCTCCTCCACCATCTACTACTTATTCCTATGGTTGCTTCGTTGTACTTTGCTTTTCAAGTTATTTCTAACATTTGAATCTTTAATTTTTATGGTATGCAACCCACATTTCGTAAATTTCTTATTATTTAATAAAATTGCCTTCTACAACGGAGATTCGATCCACGAACCTCCAGCGTGCTAACATATGCACATGCCACCCGAGCCACAATGCTCACTTATCAAGACGTATTCGTTTCAGGTATAAATGTTGTTGTTTTTCTCACATTTTTAAAAACAACAACACTTATGTTTCGTCATGCACACACAAAAATTAAACCACATGTTATTTTTAAACGATTTCTGAAAACTACAGAAAGGTTACAAAAATAAATAAGCTTACAAGTATAATATTAAATTGACTTTTATTGGAGCTCATACAATCTAGAAAGTAGGTTGTAATTGAAATTGGAAGTACATATTTGATCAAATTAACCGTTGAATAAATAAATAATATTACCATTTCGACATTTCGGCAAGCGGACGGTATCCGACGGCAGCCACAAATATTAGGATAAAGTCACTCCATTTCAGACTCCATGCGCGACAATTCACCGTAACTGTAAGGAACACTCGCTGAAATTCATTGTCATCCATGCCACAATCACATTAACAGCTCAAGAAACGCAATTAGTATCTATTAAAATAGACGCACAAACAAAACACGTGCTCACGAGACGACCGCGCACAACTGACTAAGCAGGAACTAGAATTGTCAGCCGACGTAAACATCTAGTGAGGACACCAGATAGATAACTGAAGTATTGTATATTTTTATAAGATTTATGTACTCGTATATATCAATTTCATTTTGTTTGGTAGAATTTGCCATTTTAATTAAAAAAAAAAATGATTTTACTTGCAAATAGGGCATTAATCTATAATTGTGTTACTGGTTTCCAATTCAGAATTTAATCTATTAAAATAATCCGGAAGTAGAATTCAAAAATTCCAATTATTGCATAATTTAAAACAAATTGCATCAAATAGGTATTATATAAATAAATTATAAATAATTTAAAATAAATAAGTTTTACATCCAATATAAAGAAATAGCTGCTACATTAATTTCAGGCTACGCTATCTTCATATAATCAACTTTTATATGTAATCCTACTCAGTTAAACCCAAAACACATTAAAATTTCAATTAATCATTTGTTATAAACCCATAAGTATAGAAAACAAGAAGCCCAATACAAATAATAATACTTTTCATTGTCTGCCAAAGAAAAACGATCATTCATTCACGTTTAAAAAAACAAATTCGCGTGTTATTTTTTACCTGATCCCAAATGATACGAACGAGAGACTCATCGGTAATTGAAATTCTACCTGTGGCTGCTGTCGCCTGTCTCTTTACATGCCGCTACCTGCTTTCACCTTATGACGCGCGTAATAAACAACCCATGGCAAACATAATGAAAAGGCGTACACATGTGCGGCACGCGAATCAAAACGCACAACAAAACAGATTCGCGCGCGTGCACTTCAACGTGCTAGAGCGTAATGAGGGAAAGAGTGCAATGAGAAAATAAACGATCAGCGTCAATTGGCACGCGCCACAGGCTCGACCTACTTTTAACCCCGCGCGCAAATAAAAAAAAAACAACATACACACCATCCCGGCACGCGACGATGAGATTTAACCCCGGGAGCAGGTAAAAAATTATTAAGTGCTTTCGTATTAACTACCAAGCAAACAAACAAACAAAACAAATGTTATTTCGTATTAAAAACCAGCCGAAATTAATAAGAAAGTCGTTAAAATTATATCTGAATAAAATTTCCGTTAAATTTTATTTTCTGGCAAGAAAAAACTGATTAGAATCTTATTTTTCATTCAAAGTTTGCGTTGAAAAGTTTAGATCTTTGAGTGACCGTTGGTACGGTCTTTGATACTTTGATTCTTTTGATTATTGCACAGGCCTTCATCACCAACGTCCGAAAATCATTCAAGTGTACACTCACCTATTGAAATTATCGCAACGCTGTGCAATGTGCATCGCAGCGCAAAGATGCATCGCATTCGTTGACGCCCAGTCCAAAATCCGGAAGCTGCTTTGGGTCACAATGCTGTCCGATCATCAGAATAACGCCCATCGTGTTTCATTGTGGAACGTTGTCAAATTTTTGATATTTCCGCTGCTTGATTTTGAAATAATCTAAAAAAATACAAAAATATAAGTTTTTAGGCAGTTTTCTTAATATTTTCTTATTAAAATTTAGTATAATTAATTTAAACTTTAATATAATTAAAATATCTTTGTTAATTTATAAGATATAAGAAGTTTTACAGTTAGTAACATAAAAAAATTGTACTTGAAATTAAATAAACACGCAAGATTGACCTCACAAGTTCATTTTTGTTATTCAACTTATCGACTGCTCCCCATACACATTTAATACAGTAAACAAACACAATAAAAGTAATGCCCAAAGCAAAAAATACCCTATTCACTTTTTAAGTTTAATTCACTGAAAATTGCATTGCATTAAAAACTCCTCTCACTCCTCATTTTTGAAGTACTTCTACAGTTATGACATCGCTTGTTTAGTTTTGCATATGTCGACATGTCTTCATCGTCATTGAACCACCGAAGGGTGTTTCAAATGTTCAAGTTTGGTTTCGTTTGGTCACTCAAGTGACACGGAATGTTATTGTGATTTAAATGTCACAAACGTCACAAATCTGATAAAGATATTTCGCAGAGTATCCAACGAAGTGTAAACGTATTGATAAAGTATAGCCAGTCAATCATTATACAATTCAATAGTCATCAACATCGACAATTTCACAGATATATCCGAAATTATTTTTTACATTTTAAATAGAATAGATTTAAATATTTAACGCATGAATTAACTTTTAAGCGTATTTCCGTTAAATTTTATATACAAACACTTTTTATAGTATTAACTGATTTAAATTCTAAACTAAAACATAATGATTAATGATAAATTGAATGTCAACCGACGGTTAACCAATGCGTGCCTATTTTCACCCCATAATAGTTATATGTGGTGCACATTCATCAAAATGAAGATGCAACAATTAATCCTTTGGATAGTTGCGCACCACGTATGAATTCACAACCTCCCAACATTCACCCCGTGTGCGCAACCCTTGTAAAAAAGATAAGCCCATATTTTATACACATTCATACATAAAACACCCAAAAAACTCCCAACATTTAGCCAGGAGGGTGGAAAAAAGTATTGCGTTAACATTACACCCCGATTCTTGTGTTGTCAGCGTGACCGTAACAAAATTATTTAACGCTACACATATACATGTATATTATATTCGTCTATGTGTGGGGATGACGATGAATGACATGTATTATAAAAGTACCGGGCGTACGAAATAAGTGAAGTACCCAGCACGGTGCATCGTCGAGCTGAACTAGCGACAGTTTCCAAAAAAAAGTTAAAATTTTTGGGGCGCAATCACGTTTATTGCTTGTGTTTGTGAATATGTGTGTGTGTATTCGTTACGATTTTTTTTGCGCTCAACCGCACGCGGCACGAGGCGCGCACCCTTATTTTGTGCGCTTTACGTATTTCACAAAAAAATTAGATGCTGGAACTGGAGCTGCCAAACATGTGCGACGTGCACAAGCTTTTGTTCGATTACATCTCACCTGCCTTTTCAATGTTCTGGACTACATACATTGATTGAGTTGAATTAGTTGAATGTTTAAGCAAAGTAGGCGGAGCTAAAGTACATACTTAATTGTTAAGAAAATTTTGATTTTTAGCTGGATTTTAAGTAATTTTATAGAATTTTTTGTAAATTATTGGACTTTAAAACGGTCTCACTTAGTTTATCAAAGTTTTAAACGAAATACATTGATAGAGTCAAATTACTTTAAAGTTTAAGTAAAGTGGGCGGAGCTAAAACATCTAATTATTGAAGATAGTTCATTTTTAGCCTGATTTTAAGCAATTTTAAAGATTTTTTTCATAAATAACGGCACTTTAAAACGGTAAAAAGTCGTTTTTGCATATTTTTGCAAATTCTGCATGCATTTCAGGGTAATAAACAAAACTCTGGGGCTGGTCAAGATGCTAGACGCTGGTTGTCGATGGTCGTGCGTCCAGTGCGCTAGTTTCAATTCTTTCTTTTATTGTGCGCTCGTAAATAACGCCATTGTCGTCATTGTCGACATTGAGGCTCATGACCATAACCGACCATAGCGAAATGGGCTACACTAAACGCGGCTCGTCTAAACTGGACCATAACTGGACTAAAATGGTCCACCAGTTCACGTAAGTCTAGAGTACCGTTAGGTGAAATTTTTGCATGTTTGCAACTTCTTAGAAGTCTACAAACGCTACAATTATTAGAAAATTTCATATTTCTCAACATGTTTGCAGCAAATGTTGAAAAAATAACAAATACAAATTATAAAGCCATTTTAAGCCTAAAGCCATAAAAATAATCATAAGATACCAAGCTGCAGTCATGCAAAATAAATTAATTAAAAAATAAATTATGCGTGAACGATCTCTTTGTTGAACCGCGTTCAATTTTGTTTTTAAACAATTTCGTTATGAAATTGAGCCGTTTTAGATATATTTAAGCAAAATTTAATACTCTGCAAGCATAAAAAAGTTTGCAATTCACATTTTAAGGTCTTCCTCGATGCGCAATTTCAATTAGGATATTTATACGCCGAGGAGATCATGTCCTTAATGTTAATACACAATAAATTTGTAATTTGTAATTCGAGCGGTGCGCGATCCGAGCATAATTTATGTAAATTAATATCAATATCGATGAAAGCCGGGCACTTAAATTACCAATAAACTAATCCATCAAAATGTAAACCCTGAAAAGCGTCCGCACTCCTCCACTCATCCGTCGCATAATTTAATTTACCATGAAAAACACATTAATTCTAAAACAAAGTCATAACGCTACCCGGCGGAAAAATTAAGCGCGCGCACTGACTCATCCACCCACACACTTGCACACACACTGAATTGTGTGTGGAGAGAGTAGGGGTAGGCAGCTAGGGGTGGCATTAGCGCGTGGGATGAATTCCGCGGGCAGCTTCTAATTTTTTTTCCTCCTTCGCTCTCTGCATGTTCCCTCGAGTTCGTTAGGAGAGCGAAAAAAAGCAACGCGCACGAAATTACCGCGTGCCACCCCTAGAGAACAGCGAGAAAAAAAACGAACGCTCACCCTAATTTTTTCCGCGTCTTCGCCCGCACCACGCTCGCGCTATTTTTTTGTTATTCCAGCGTTGCCTTTTGTAGTTAACCCCATTGTGTACGCCGCGCCGCTGCTTTACATACGCATCAATGCGAAATTACCCTTCGGAATTAATTGAATTTTACTGCGTCTTGCGCGGGTGCACAACGCATGAAAATTTATTACTCCCAAAAGCAAAACGCAATTCAAACCGAGAACAATTCCTACTTGAAATAATTACAAATTTTAAATTCGGTGCGGAAATTATTTTCCGTGTTTTAACCTAGGCAACTTTTCGAACACGAATTCTACTGTATGCAACTGAATATACAGTAATTTTAATATATGCAACTTAACATACACCAAAAATCAAAACATTGAACGAAAATCAACGAAAAATCAACAATTAGAAGCAAATATTTAATAAATATTCATCACTTACCTTTTATTATTGTGCCCTTTATGATATTAAGTAGAATTGATGTGAATTTACTTGAAATCTTGTGATTTTCCACTCGTGATCAGCCGACAGTCGCGTGTGTGACATAATGTGTGCCAGATCGGTGACGATCTAACCTCATCGGTCAAACCACGATTTTCACGATTTCCTCTCATCGTAATGAAGAAAATAAACCAGCAGCAGGAAAAGAAGTAATACACGATTAACCATTCGCAGGTCGATGCGACAGGATGGCGCTTGTTCTGCGACAACTCGCGCGGCGCGTGCACGGCGCCCACGTTCGCGCTGAAAAGGTGACAAAATCATTAATTACATAAATTCCACCTTAATAAACTCACACAATGTGTTAAACATTTAATTACAGTTCATATAATTGTTATGGATAATTTAATATCATCGTATTATGTTTGCAGATTGTGTGGTGCAACTCCACTTGTAACTTCAGCAGAATTAGCCTGAATGCAAGTACAAATAGGATAATTACTAGTTCTAGTACCTACAATGAGTATCCACTAAATCTACAGGATTCTAAGTTATTTATTACAAAGGAAAATGTCACAGGGTATGTAAATTATCGTCAAAATTTACAAATTACAACAAATTTTCATTAATTTCACTTAATTAGTCCATAACTTTTAAACTAATTACAACACATGAGTAATTTTTATACTCAGAGATGTAGAATTAAATACTTAATGAACCTGTGAAGGAATGATCACTCTATCACCAATAGTTTTCAAGTTATTCATTAAAAACTAAAGAAAAATTGATATTCTAGGACAATTAAAACTTCCGACTCAACGAGCGATTCCTCATCGCAGAAAAGCAGCAAATCGTCACCATCTCCCGAGCAAATCGACTTCATTTACAAGAAGCTGAGTGAAGCATTACCAAAGTTATTTATTCAATCAATGGATTATAGCATTTATCACCCGGATGTTATTTTCGAAGATAATATTCGTAACAAACGCACCGAGTAAGTTAAAATAACCCTAAATTTAAAACGAAGAAGTAAAATATATAAATCTTAATTTTAGGGGATTATATGCGTATGTCCAACAAGTAGCAATGTTGCGAACAATTGGACACTTGAAATACGCGTACGTAAAATTCGAAGTGTTGAAAATTACCAAAAACCCCGAAGATAATTCAGTTAAAGTACGATGGTCGATCAAAGGCATTTCAGGACTCAAAGTTATGTTCCTATTCTGGAAATACAGACTCTGGAAGATTAAGGATCTCTTTGACAAAACAGAAAAGTAAATTTTACTATTTTCATCACATTTTCGTATTAAAATAACCGAAAACTTATTATTTTTAGTTGGTATGATGGTTTTTCAACATTTTACATCAACTGCGATGGGCAAATCGTCAAACACGTGGCTGATAAGGTACTAATCATTAAATTTTCACCTTTATAACTTAAAAAATGATTAATTTTTATGTTTAGATGATGCCTGATGGTGATACAGTAACACAATCGAAGCCATCGCCTTTAGATTCTGCTAAACTAGCGTTAATTGTCGGAATAATCCCACGATTCTCCGAAATCACATTCACTTGATTCCAAACCAGTTACAAAACCAAACAAGACACACACATAAAACACCAGTTGATGAGTAGTTAGTATTATTTGCAGGCAGATACCCCTCCAGGTCCAGATTAAGTGGATTGTGAGTATTACAGGGAACCTTGTGATTGGGTTTAACTTCACATGTTGAATCAGAGGAAAATTTTGTTGTCTATCGCTGATTACTTAACTTTTGTTACAATACTTTAGCCATACTTTGATAACTAGAGAATAATCACGTTGGCCGCTATACTGCGTGTATTTATTGTTTTCTTTTTTGTAATAAATTGTTTTTAAATGTTTTCTTGAGGTTGCAATTATTTATACACAATTTATTCCTTTCTACTTTCAATTAACTACTTAGATATTACTGTTCTTACCGTTATCGTGTATCGGTTTTTGTGTTGTCCACATCTTTGGAGTCAGAATATGTAGTAGGACTTTTTCTTGCACCTGCTGCACAAAAAAACAAATGAAAAGTTTGTTAAGTACATAATTAAAGTATACACAATAACTAAAAACGTGTAAAATTGACTCAAAACTAATAATACTTGATACTCAAACGTTATTTTAGTATAAACTTAACTTTTATGGAGGTTATTTACCAATATCTTTACCTTTGCGAGGTGATAACTTAAAAATTGATACTTACACTTCCTCAATAGAAGTTTTTCGATGTTGTGAATAGGAGATTCGAACAGGACACATAATATAAACGCACCAATAAGCGTCATGACAATGTGTGCAGCCGTTTCACAGCCCTGCAATAATTAAAACTTACTTTAAACTTACTTCTTCAAAAACACAACGTGCAGCAACAAAACAAAACACACAATAACGAACATGTATGACGGGTTGTCTATAGTCCACTCTCCAAGGACTCCGCACATACAGAGTAACAATAATATACAGGATAATAAACAGAAAAATGTTACGGCCTACAAAACAATCTGGCGGTACAAGCTGACAAAGATGGCGGCGATGCACCAGCTGTCAAAGAAGACGCTTCAAATGTAATCACACTCTCCGGTGAGAACTTTGAGCAAGGCGTAGCGTCTGGTTTCACATTCGTGAAATTCTTCGCACCGTGGTGCGGCCATTGCAAACGCCTCGCGCCTACTTGGGATGAATTAGGCAAGAAATTCATTGGTCATCCTGATGTTGACATTGTCAAGGTCGATTGCACGCTAGAGGACAACAAGGAGTTGTGTAATGAACAAGAAGTGGACGGATTTCCATCCGTGTTTCTCTTTAAGAATGGCAAACGTATTTCCGAATACAATGGTAATCGTAGTCTGGAGGATTTATACGAGTTTGTTCAACAGCATTTGAGTGCTCATGATGAATTGTAATTTTCATAAAGACATCACTTTTTAATATAGGCTAGAGCGGTTAGATGTCAATTTTTGTTTGTTTTTAAAATTGTGTGAGTGTGTCCGGCGTGATTGGTGAAACAAATAAACAATTTTCTACGTAAAAGTGTTTGACCCAGTTGTGCCCTGCGGCGAGTTGGTTGTGAATCGATATGTAACGTGTGCATACGCAAGCGCCGATGCAATTGCTTTGGTGTAATGTTGGTTGCCTAACTTTTACGGTTGCAAACAGAAGCAGCGTGTTTTTTGTTCATCAGCTGGTCGTATCAGATTCACCTCGAAGGGATTAGAATAATATTAATTTAAATCTTACTCACTGCGTTTCGGTTTTGTTGTAATCATGGCGTGTAGGAAACTCGTCACGTTGTTGGGCTATGAAGATGAGCCTGTCAACGAGAAAAACAAATCACTCGCGAACTTCACAACGAACAAAGTGGGAGGTCGACCTGTAAGTAAAAACACAATAAATTATTAATTATCACGATATAAAACGACAGAAAATTATTTAGAATTAAAAATAAGTTAGTGTTATGTTATAAAATTTTTGTGCACACTAAAAAAATGCAAAAATGTATTTGGAGGAGCTGGGATTTGAACCCAGGACTTTCAGCATGCGAAGCAGACACTCTACCACTGAGTTACACCCCCGATAGGAATGACTCGACATTTTAAGCTTGTAACACGTTTCCATCTAAAACAATTACATATATCTAATGTTTCCATGGCAACACCAAACAAACCGCCATCATTTTTCGCATTTCGCACAATCATGTTTTTTACTCTTATAGGATGTGAGCACAGAAAATTCACACTTTGAAGCACCAAATTGTTCATTGTGTCAATTACCACGTCTGCTCATCGTGCAAATCTACGCTCCAATCGAAAACTCAACATATCACCGCACTCTCTACGTCTTCGCCTGTGTTAATCCCAACTGTTGGAATCAGAATGACAGGTAAAATAAAATGGCCGAAAAATTTCATTTTAAATCAATTAATTAATATAAATTTTTAATATTTTAGTTGGATTTGTCTTCGTGCTCAACATTTAGACCCATCTGCATCTACAGCCACAACAACTTCCGCTGTTGAAGCCAAAGTATTGAAAACAACCGACTGGTGCGCAGACGCAGATGATTGGGACGATGACAATTCGAATTTCGAAGAAAATGGTAACGTGGTTAACAAATCAGACGATGACGACGAAAGTGCCAGCTTAGATGACTCCATCCGCATGGGTTTGGAACAAATGGGCGTCGATGACAATGATAAAAACGCAAACGCATGTCTTGCAGAAGCCCAAGGTAAGAATTTTAGTAAAAAATAATTAATATTAGTATGGCGGCCATTACCCCAATATCCCCACTATTCAAAAACAAAACACATTTATTAACAAAATAGAGGCGAATCCAACATATTTACACATAAAAAACATAACAATTCTACATCTTTGGCTAGTAACCACAGAAAAACAGATTATATCTCTATTTCTACCCCTTTTTCATCAGAAAATGTGACACATTTTCATATGTGACAAACGTCAGCATCGTCGCAGGCATCACACGCAACAAATTTGTTCCTAAACCTTTACAAAACCCTCTCCAACCTTCAAAACGCCATGTTTCTACAACACAACCCACAGCCCCTTTATATTCCGCATGCTGATTCTGTAATCTAGCCCTTATCACCTGATATGGATAAGTTGTAGCCACAGCAATCAACTTTGACATTGCAGCAAATGTTAGATATTCAACCGTAGTCAATTTTGCAGTGATTGATGTACCTTTATACACTGAATATTGATTCTTCATCTCTTCGTAGGACATAAACTGTACTGCACCATGTGAAACACCAAAGATTCCAGGTGTAAGACCCTTGTAATAACCTCTGATACCTTCCAGTTGATAAATTTTCACCAGCGCATCAATCATTCCATTGTATCTCTCCTTCGGAGAAGTGTATTGTAAACACAGGCGTGTTTTCACCACCCAGATGGGATTCGTGATGAGCAGAGTCATCAAACCAGCTTCAGATGCAGCTAGTAAATGTTGTGCGGGTCGCAGCGGCGCTTGGAGGTTACCATTCTGTGTCCAGGTCTTAATTGTGTTGTAGAAGAGGAAGTATAAGCCCCAGGAAGTGCCAGCGCCCCATAAATTCGGCACGACTCCTTTGTACAACCCAGAGTAACCTTCATGTTTGACGATGGACTTGAATGCGTCGATTATACCATTGTATCCGGGTGTTTTCACGCGTCCATCGTTGACTGCCAGCCGGATCTTGATCACATCCAATGGATGCAGGCATAATGTGGAGACTAAACCTCCGGAGAGGCCGGCGACGAGGTGTTCGTAACGCACGTGTTGAAGAAACGCAAATGTTTGCTCATTTTGTGCTTCTTTCAGACTCGTCATGTTGTACACGCACAGATAAACTCACATGTTTAGATGTAGTAAGATGTAGTATCAGTGTTTACAAGGTTATGTTAAGATATAACTTGTTTGTGACTATAGTTTATACCGAGTGTTGCAATTTGCATTTCTTGTTGTTTTTCAAGGTGGAGCTGTTGGAACTATACAATCACCAACACCAAGCGCTGAAATAGAGGGCGCTGAAGGCGAAGCAGTGTGCATTGACACTCCGACATACCCCCAGCGTGACATCAGCGCCATTTTGAATGAAACGCATGTTTTACCGCAGGAAATCTTCCGTGGACAAGCTCCACCGCAATTCGACGCGTTTTTCATGAGTGTTTACGAGGAACAGGAGCCGCAACACTTTGTCGATCGCCATGTGCGTGAATTACTGCAAGAATATCAAGCGAATAATGATGATATTAATTTTGCAAGCGAAGGTGGTGGTGGAGTTAAAATGCCGGCTGATTCCGGCGGTGCTGGGGAGTTGACACTTGAAAAATATGAGAAGACTCATCCAGCACACGGTGATAAAATGTTTCATTATTATTTAACTAAGATACGTGAAAATCCCGGACATTTTCTAAGGTAAACCCACACATAACCTAAAATACCATACAAATCTAACCTGTATAACCTCCAATTTAGGTATAGTCGTGGTGCGAATGGTTTACTACTATATCCTCTACAAGAATCCATGAAAAGGTGCAAGTACTGCCAAGGTGACATGATTTTCGAGTTTCAATTACTACCGACGTTGATTCCTCTACTGAAATTATCCGGAGATCAATCGGATGCGACCCGGATAGAATTCGGTAATGTTTTGGTTTTCACTTGCAGCAAAAGTTGTTGGTTTGGTGATGCTCTGCGACAGGAATACGTTGTCGTACAGTCTGAGAATATCTAATGTAATAATAATGTAATATCTAACGCCTCGTTCGGCGTTCGTACTTCATCTCAACTAATTATTGCCGTATATGACGTATAAACTTAACATTTATCATAATCTTCATATTGAAATGATATGTAAGCCACATAAACCACTTGCTAGTGATGTACAACATTGATAAACGTTTATAATAGTCACATATGCCGTATAATAAATGTCTACTACGTTAAAACAAAGGAAATTGAGTTTTTCCTTAGTGGATGGACATAAGGTAGGCAACTTAATATACTTGTTTAGGATTTATACCTTTTAAGCGTGATTGGAAGTAGAAATTCAAAGAGAAGTGAAGAAAAGAGACCATGAAACTGCACTACTAGAGACTCGGGCAAGACTGAGCCTTTTATACTCGCGATTTTGCGCGCGACCGGCAAAAAATGGTGGGGGTAGCTCGGTAACTAGCTGATTGGCAAGCGCTGGGACTGGTGCATCGCACGCTGTGAACGAGCGACACAGGAGTCTTCCCCCACTCCATTTCTTCTGTTGACTACTCGCCCACAACTATAAAAGGGCCATACACAGCGCATGCGCGGTTCAGTCGGGTCTAAATCCTCCAGTAGTCAAGTCGCAGCTCTCCAAGTGCCTCTTTCTCTTCAGTTCTTTATGGTTTTCATTCCCCACGTGTCAGTAACCAAAATAAATTGGTGCTGTTTTAGAATACATTTAATATTTCTATATTTCACAATTTTTAAATATATTTTTCACATATACATATATAATTAATTAGATTTCTTCTTTGGATTTCCTGTTTGTTTCAGTGTGTGTCGTGTGTACGTGTTGCATATTACCACATTAGCTAGCCTGTCACTTGATGTCACCATAACCTCTCTTCTCTCACATTCAGCTGTCCCAACCGACGCTCATGCGCAAGCTGAACAATAACGTTGTCTGCTTGCTGATGGTTTTTTGTTGGTTTGTTTAAGTTTATAATTAATATTTATGTATAGTAATAGTTTTTTTTCTTCATTTCTTCACGGTATTATGCTAAATTTGTTTCATTTATATTTATAATTAGTAAGTAGTACTTTGTTTGCATTTGTTTTCATCCGTTTTTGTTCTCATCATTCTCATTATCCTTTCTTGCATGTGCACCAAGGATGATGGCATCACGTTATTTATAATCGTAATTAATAATTATAATAATAATGTATATTATGAATTTCATTTTTCAAATAGTACATATTTTCTTCTTGTTCGCAGTTGAAAAGTGCGCGCGCAGCGTTCGCCAATCGCCGCACGAGGTAATATTCCAACACGCTTGCGGAATCGACCACCATGTGACTGAGTAAACAATCAACGCGCAATACAATCACATTTACCCAAACACGAAACACCCCAACATACACTGTAGTCATTTCTATTCATGTAACTAGTTAAAAATCATAGAATGCGTGTTGATTTGCATGCGTGCAGTTTGTGATTGCATTGCGCGCAAGATGGCGGCCGATTTAAGCTCCGGACGCGCATGCGTCAAGTGTGTTGGACTGAGCCCCTTACCCCGCGGGCGATTATACGCGACTCCAGCGACGGATGATACACTTCCGGTCTGTGCAAGCATCCGTCACCGCCATTTTAATTCCAGCAGCCAATCACAATACTAACATTTATGTTAGTATATCTAGATAACCCACTACACATTGCTGCTGAGTACGATGTTTCAATATACGCATACCGGGTGTTTTAAATGTGTGTGTTAGATGTGTGTGTGTTTTCCGTCAAAAATATTGTGCGATTGTTTTGTTTTCATCACCAGCTAATCACGTACAACGTAGACATAAACGTAAAATGAAACAATTACGTATGCAAGTAAAAATGTGCAAATAATTGGCTATAACCTCACTTTCTCGAGTTTCTCGAGTTCCCCGAGCAGACATTCGCTTACAATAATCATAATAATATAATATAGAGATAAATCTTTGGCTATTTGGCCGCTTTGTGTTTCTTTTTCATCTTTTGTTTCGACAATATATAGAATATAAATCTCTTAAACGTTAAATAAATATTTACACATAATCATAGAGCAGCTGTGTGTGTGCGCTTCACTCAACGCCGGGCGCCATTTTGTAATCACCACGGCTGAGCCTCTCTCTCCTCACAAATAACAATCTGAATATAATTGCAATTAATAACAGCTAAAAGTTGGCTTTTTCTCATATTTTCATATACGAAAATCGAAAAACGTTTGTTTTTTTTTGTTTATGTGGAAATTTTCCATACGCGTAACGTAATTACCATTACAGTTTTCTTCTTTTTTTTTCTTTAAGTTTAAATGTTTGTGTTTTTGTTTTGCTTAACTTCGATACTCACTTGTTAATTATAATTAATTAATAAATAAGTGTATGGTGTGTATGGGTGTGTCGATTACATATTCATCTGTTTGTTTTGCATCTAAATGTCCGTGAAATGCGTGAAACAAATTTCGAATTGTCAAAACGTAAAACCCACGCCTCGTCCATGTAGCGTTCTTTTTTCTTTTTCTAGAAGGTAGTGTTGTTGGGGTCCGTCGGTGACTCACCGTCGTTCGACGGCAGAGGGGCGAGATGCGCCCCCGGTGAAACCAGCATCGTCGGCTCGGTGTTGCGCCGCTTCATCTTGCCCTTCATCTTCTTGAGCATCGTCGCCTGCGAGCCAAAGCAATGCATTCAAAATGGCCGATGATGAGACACGGAACAGAAACGAAATGAATCTCTCATACTGGTGTTTTGTTTACGCATGCGTATTAAACGACTGTTGATGTAGATGTGATGATGAATCGACACGTTTTTGTTTAAATATTTTTTTGTTTGCAAGTTTTGCTCTTGCTCTAATCGCACTAAAAATGTTTTCTGCTTTGAAACACAATCGAAACCGAGATCTTGTTTTTTTCCTATCCGCGCTAATCGTCAGTGCTCTTGCCCCCCTCCCCGTTGGCGGGTAGTATGCTGGGCTCGGTCGGCCGACGCTTGAACTTGTTTTTCTTGAGCATCGTCGCCTGGCGAGAAACAACAAGAGAACAAAAAGAAAACACCACACGTCAGCAAAAAAACACTAGTTTGCTATTCACATGTTTTGAATGGAGTGGGGTGGGGGTGGGAGTGGGGGTAAAGTGTCAAAATAAACAAATATAGGATATATATGTTCGAGTGTGGTAAGGTTATGTTACATGCAAGGAGATTGTAGTATAAGGTGTAGTGGGGTGTATGGTAGCTGTCAAAAAAGTGACAACGCGTTTTCCCTCTCTCTCTCTCTCTCTCTCTCGTTCGTGCTTTGTGCTTTGAACTCGCATTCAGTGCTTTCTTTCTACACACACCGAAACAGCATTGTTTTTTGTTCGCAATTTCATAATTTCACATGATTTACAAGCGATATTTGTAATAATTTACAGCGCCAACAGTTCCGAAGGGGGGCCAGCAGATTATCTCATCGTAAATAACAATAAAAAACGAAAAACCAAACCAATGTAACGTAGGCAACCCACTATATAGTAAAACATGCCTATGTTAAATATTGCATAAATTTTAGCTATCGAACTACCGAACTACGATTCATATATGAGAGAGACAGAGACAGAAAACTACAAAATGTAATAATTAACTAAACAAACTACAAATATGAAATAAAACAGTAAGATATAGAAAAAATAAACGAAAAAAATCATAATCAAAGGTTAGATTTAAATGTAGATGACATAATTGAGGTTATGTGATAGTATTTATAGGTTACCTTCAGCGCCGACTTGAGAACGACGACATCACATGGACTCTGCACCCATGGTTCGCCATCCACCTGCACCGGAATGTCCGAATGCAGATGAATCTTAATATGTCCACCCTTAAACACAAAAAATCATTTAAAAATGTTTTTTTAGGTTATAAACGCGTTATACCTGTGCAATGCGCATTGCTGACCGCATACCAGACTGTATCTGCCCAAGATGCACCACTCCAGTGACCCCTACAACCTCCAACATACCATCCCAATGATTGGGCTTGGAAAACTGGTCCTCTTTCTCCGGTCCCCACGGATTAGCACCCGAACCCCAGCTGAGGATGTTCAGGATGATGATCCCTTCGACCTGTGGTAGTTCCACTAATTTCCCATCCACTTCCAGGCGGACTTCCTTGTGCAGGTCCTTGCACATCTTCGGTCCGACCATTTTCCTCAAGCCCATCTTCACGTAGACGCCTTTGTTGTGCAGACGCGAGTTGAATTTGTTCGGGTTCTCTTCGCGCGCGTTGTGAAAGTCGAGGCACAGGTCGGCGTCGATCCCAATACCGAAGTAGTTGTTCATCACGAAGATCTGCGAGTTGTCCTCGGAGGTTGAGACCGCCACTGCTGGGAGAAAACATAAAAAACGTAATTTAGTATAAATAGAGTAAAAGAAAAGTGCTTATGATGAGTACAAGCGCATTTTTATACAAAACATAACCAAAAATTTCATTTTGATAGAGTTTAATTGAGGTTATGTTGATTTTTGGTTATGTTATCGATGTTGAAGTGATGGCAACTAAATACATTCATTATTTCGTATTACCTACTTTTTCTGAAAGCTTTTGTCTCTTTTTTTTTAAAGATTAATTTAACTTTGAGCTCATTTCTCTTTGGTTTAAAGTTTTTTTAAGAATAGAAACGAAAAAATCAATCAATGTTTGTTTTGGTCGAAAATGAAAATGTTGTTTTGCCGTATTCGTCTCATAACTACAAAATCGATAAGCGAACGCATTCATCGGCAAATAAAACAAAACACAAAAACAACGAAATTAAAAAAAAGCACGATAAATGCGCCCTCTTGCGTCACATGCACAAATCATACATTAAAATACAGTTTAAATTGCTGTGCAATAATTTTACATTAGTTATTGTGGTTATTAAGTATTACCTCATCGTTAGATATCCATGTTTATACTTTTAGGTTATTTTTAGGTTAGTTTATGTTAGATTAGATTAGTATATGGCAATTTAAGCAGAGCTGTCAAATTTCAAAAGCATCACACACACGCGTTCGACACACAAAATGGCGGCTAGCGAGCGAGAACTAATTCAAAACTGCCTGCTTTCGAAAAAAGTAGGTTCGGAAACACCTACGTCACAAAACGTGCTTGCACTACGTTCACAACCGCAAGTCCTCCGATTGTAAAAAATATACAAAAACAAAATGAAAAACATAACAGAATGCATTCAACTGTGACTGTGTGCTGATTGTTTATGTCTGTAATAATGTACAGGGTGTTGCTTTCTGAATTTTTTGTTTTTTCTGTTTAAAATTTCTGTGTGGGCGGCGGCGGCGGCAGCGGTAGTTAGATTTACAGCAAAACAACATCGACAATGTACTCGTATATAGAGATTATTATATACACATATTGATTGACCTGTTTTCTTAATTTGCTCATTGGTCACTTTCATTTTGGACAGTTTTTGCCTCTTCTTACCGGTGGAGTTGACCGGCTTCACACCGTCGTCCTGCTTGTCTTCCGGATGAAACACTACCGTCCACCGGTCGAGCCGGATCTCCTCGGCGTCGATGACATCCCGCAGTAGATTCAGCGGATCCTCGCCGCCGGTGTACCCAGGACCCCAACGCAACACGCGCGCCAGATCATTACCTAATCGTAGTTATTTACAGGTTATGTTGTTGTGAAAGTGTGGTAACGTTTAAAATTTCGAGGTTATGTTACCTGTGCCGAGTGGAACAATGGCGCATGCGGGTGATGAACACTGCGAGTCCTGCCCGACGTTGTCCAGACACTGCAGCACCCACCCGATGGTACCATCACCGCCACACACGAGGATCTTGTAGTTCTGAATGTTTCTGAAGACGTAGAGGCCCGGTAGGGGGCCGCCATTGTCGAGATCGAACACCTGATACGGATTGAGCAGCTTCCGGAAGCTGGACACCAGCTCCGAGCCTTGACAGCCGCCCGATTTGACATTTACGAAGACCAGCAGTGGTTGGACACCGGCTGGTACCATCGACGGCTCGATATTTGGCAACAACATTACTACAATCCCACAAAAACAGTTAAAAATAATATTTTAGGTTATAAAACTTGCAAGTCATACCTAATAAGTCTTTTCCTTCGTGTTTCGACTCGCGTAGAGCATAGAGGGCGCGCACAGCTTTATCCGAATCCTCATAAATGATCACCATCGATCCGTACTCGTAGTAAATCGGACCAATCGATGAAAACTTGTTCTCCTTACCGAGAAAATCGGTGAGGATGTTCTCATACTGACGTTCGGATAAGTTCGGCGGTAGATTGCCGACGAACAGCGCCAGATTGGGCCCGTGCGGGTCCTGTTTCAGTTGCAGATAGAAACGCATCAGCTCCATCTGTCGGATGCTATCTTTGCCCAGTTGTTTCATAATCTCCCACGGCCGTTCGTTCCATGAAAGCACGCGTTCGGTGACGCCGCGATCCAGCAGCACCTCGCTGCAGCGATAGTCCTCACATTGATACTCATTGAGATCGAACTCTTTGAGCGCTTCGCGGATTAAATCCGCCACGGTCGTGGTGCTGTCCACCGGCACGGTGCAGAATGCCTGTGAGACTTGTAGTTTACCCGGATACACCCGTACTTCACCACGGTCATTTTCTCCATCTCTGCAACCCAACATACACGAAATATATATTAGTTGTGTTCTTGTTATGTGTGTGATTGATGATTTTATAGGTTATATTTACTTGAATCGTAAGTAGACTGCCGGCCGCTTGCCTTCTTTGCGTGTGAGATTGAGAATGGGCGTTGGATCTTGTAGTCGCGCCTCGTCCGGTGAATACATGTCGGTCAGATGGAAGAAGTTCGGATCCTTGGTGATGTGAAAAGCGCGCAACGCCTGCGTTAACGCTTGTTTCAGCGTCGCTTGGCGTGACACAACCACCGTACGGAATATCCGTCGACGCATCGAACTGTTACCATCGTAAACTTTTATCACTTCTGTCAAAATAAAAACCACATTGTTATATGTAATGTTGGTTGCCTATAATTATACAAAGCTTATATTGAAATCCGCGCAACAAAACAAATCTATGCAGTACAAATCTCATCTGCATAGTGTGTTGCCTAAGTTCCGGCTTGTCACGAACACGTCATGTATTTCAATAGACACAAAAAGATGGCGTACCTTCATCCCTGTCTTCCTTTTCTTTGTTCTGTTTATCGGTGCGGCTTTGTCCGTGCGACGATTGATTCACGGCCGGCGTGTATTCCTCCTGCTCGCGATACCTGGACGCGTCGCCGCTGCTAAACTCTTCTGAAATGCTTCGCGCTGCAACCAAACATACACACAACGCATTAACAACACACACACATCCACAGCTCTATTTTTCGCATACAAAACAATACACCCTGTTAGTTATATTATTCAGAATACAGTGTTATCGTATACTATTCTACAGGGGTTTGTAAAAAAAATCTCAGTCAACGGGGGAAATGCACACGTCGCGAGCTAACCTCGCCGTTTGTCATGTGTCAACCGCTTTTGTTGATAGAGCGGCGCGTTGAGACACACGAAGAAGGAGAGCATGCCGATTTTGGACGCCATCTTGGGTGCGCGTGCGCACACTGCCATCGCAGCGACCTCTGGCTGCATTGCGCTCTCGTCGACTGCAATAACATTCCTGATCTTTAAAACAAATGAAAGCAACAACTCAACCGATAACCTAACCTTAATCTTAACCTATAACTATATATAAATATACAAATATACAGTGTGTCCGTGGTAATATTTATATGGGAATAGAAATATCTTACGTGATAATGTCTCCTTGCGTCGTACTTGCACACCGATGATGGCCTCCATGGGCACCTCAGTGCGCGGTATGCTGACGGCATGCGGCGGCAGGTAAATCGGTTCCAGGATGCCAAACGTGCACTCAGCCGGCGTCGGCAGGTTGACGTGACATGCAGCATGGCAAGTCATGCCGCACCACTCGCATCTGTATCCGGAGAGACACTCCGACGTCCAGCATGTTTTCTTGCAGAGCGCGCACTTGGAATTGCTCGGCAGGTTGCCTTCGCGCCAATGGTGCTGATGGTGGACGTACGACAGACTCTTGCCGGGCAGGTACGTCGCGTTCTCCTTGCAGTCGGCCACGGCAAAGTCCTGGCAGTCCGTATGCACAAAATACTCGCATACTAAACACATAGAAATCACATTTTTATTGTATTAAAGCATGGCGGCCATTTTGTTGTGGGCTTACTTTCACAATGTATGGATTCGCTATCGTCCAATCGCTTCCGACACACGTTGCAGAATTTCCGCTTGTGATGGAACGGCTCCGACCAACAGTGAGCTACCGGGTTCTAAAAACACACAGAAAAATAGATATAAATAGTGTTGAATTGAGGTTATGTGGTGTAATATACCTTGATAAGGCTGGCGGCGATGCTGGAACAAGGAGACACCACGGTTTTCAAACAGCGGTCATGCACCACGAAGTTGCACACTGAAATAAAAGAATTGTGTAATGTTGGTTGCCTATATTAAAAAGAATTCAATGTAATAAATTCATTTTCAGCGGGGCATAACATAAGTTGATCCGTGCGCGCCGAAAACACGACACACCGAAGACGAGAGCATCGAGAGAGCGACAGACGTCGTCGTATCGTATTGATCCGCAGCGGCGGCTACGGCGGCGGCGGCGGCGGCGGACGCTTCACCCGCCGTGCAAAACGCAGCGTCCTAGCCGAGTTAAATTTTAGCAACATTTTCAAAAAATATAAAAACAAAATGTTTTCTTCTTTAAATACGCCTAGAATAATGTTATATGTATATTGTATGTTGGGTTGCATATATTAAAATGAAAAATTTATTTTTGAGGTTTAATGATGAAAATGATGAAAATTACGGCTGGCGTTGTTGAAACCTCGGAAATAATTAGCAATCGCTGGTTTTCAAGATGGCGTTAATGAGGGATATCATTATTTGCAGCGCAAAGTGGACGGAAATGACGAAAAGTCGCCGCGAGCGAATCAAGCGTACCTGCACGCTGAGAGCGTCACGCAATTAGCGCCCCGGCCGAAAGAGATTTCTAAAGTAGACTATTTCCAACGTGTTTGTTTAAAAATACGAGTGTTGTTAAAATAAACAAGCGCGCGCGCACAGCGACGCCGAGAAAACTCAAGGACACTCGCGTCACACACACACACTTTATAAAAAGAAAGAAAAACCCTTCTTGAATTAAGCCACGTAAACTAGAAATCAAATAATTACAAATAAAAACACTGTATGCAACCCACATTGGTGGTTAGGTGTGTGTGGTGTAATCTAAGATGGCGTAAGTTGAATTTCAAACATGATGTGTGATTTTATTCGCGCTGCGTTTGTGAAGTAAATCAATGAACTCGTTGCGGGAACAGACGGTACGCGCGGATAATATAAGCCACGACGTGCCAAAAATAGTCGCCGCACGGCGTTTTATCTCCCGCTATCCCGAAACATGTTACAACAATCCGGGCTATTTTTAACGAATATTCTTTATCTATACACACGACGACGTCGACGATGTGTGAGAGGTGTGGAGCTGAGTGGTCGGGTAAGTTCGACATTGGCGTACGTGCACGACCAGCGCAGCGCGATTCAACAGGCTGAAAAACAAAACAAAAAACACGCAACCACACATACACATTATATGCATATATATACGTTGCATATAGTCGCAAGCAATGAAAAACAATAAAAGTGATTTGATTTAAATTTAGGTTAGAATGTGTTATTAAGTGTTTGCGCTCCGCGCTTGTTTGGCCATTGCGTTAGATTTCGCTGAGGTCGACGACGTCATCGCGGTGACGTCAAGCGAGTGTGCGCGTGTGTACGTTGGGTTGCGCGTCCGTTTGACCCAATTCCGCGGCGAAACGCGCGCGCTCCGGCTCTCACACACAAACAAAACACACATGTGCTCACCGCATTCCCCGAATGTTCTGCGCGCGCGCGCGTGTAAGTATGCATTCTTCAACTCGCAACATTCATCGCGTATATATACACGCATAGAAATGCGAAAAACAAAACTTGTTTGTTTTATCGGGCAAAGATAAAATGACATCACTGTCGGCCATCTTAAAACCTGTCTGGGGACATTACAACGCTTTTTCTATGATACATAGGTGTAAATTGAGGTTAGAATGGTGACACGTGTATGGTTGGAGGAGAATAAGAGTTGGGGTTGGGATGAGAGGAGGGGGGGAGCACACGGTTGACTATTTTTAGCGTCGGCGAAAAGGTCATGGATAGTGTTCGATAGTTCCGGCTAAATTTAACAAATCGGGAGACGGACCCACAATGAATACCAAAAAAATTAAAATAAAATGACAGAAGGTCATTCAGGTCATTGTTTTATGCAGGTATGTTAATTTGGTTGCATAATTTTGAATGTTTACTAGTAAGTACACATTACTTAACCTAAAAAATCTTAAAATCGTTATATCTCCGAAACTAATCGACATAAATTGATGATTTTTTTTCTAGGTTATAAATTTTTATGAAAACTACAAAATGGCGTCTGATAAATATGAAATTTTTTGTTTTTTGTGTGTTTAAAGCTACTGCGCATGCGTATTAAGCGCGAAATGAATGTTTGGTGACTCTGGTTAGTATCTGATGAGTATGCGGCGCGATTGCAGCTCGAAGCTGAAAGCTGACGAGATACACGCTCGAAATGTAGGTGAAGTGACGAACTGACGTCACTTGGAGCGAGCGAGAGAGGCGGTCGGCGTCGCGTGTGTATCCTAATTGTAGCATCGCGCACACACGCGACCGCCGCGCGCGAGAGGATCGATGCGACGGTGGCGGTGGCGGCGGCGACGGATGCTGCCATCTCCCACCCGCCGCGCGCAGCTGAATTTTCGGCGGATACACATACGCAACATGGCGACAATAAACAATTAAAGAATAGGAATGAATATGATTGACTAGTAGGGTGATGGTAACATCGGTGGTGGCGGTTACCTTCGCAGATGAAGCCCTGTTGAATGAGGCCCCACAGCATATCGCTGCAGTGGTGGCAGTAGGTGGGCTTGTGGAAGGTCTTCTTGCCGAAGCTATGGCCATGCCCGTGGTGGGCGGGCGGTTGCTCCTGCTGGCCGGTGGCGGCGGCGGCGGCCACCGACGCCATCTCGTCCCTGCGTGCGAGTTGCGCGCGTCTAGATTCACCCGCGCCACATTCACCGCGCGCGGCACGCGCTTGGCACAGCACGCATCGTCTGCGAGTCTCGATCGGCGGCGGCTGCGGCGGCGGCGGCGGCTACTTCGTCTGCTTGCGTGAGTGGCGGTGGTCGTCGCGTTACATGCCTACGTGATCTCGAAGCCGTACGCGAACCGTACCATGTTCGAGTGCGGCGGCGGCGGCGGCGGCGACGGACCGACCTAGTGGCCGCGGGCGCATCGCGCAATGTGCTGCTGCTGCGGGCGGCTGCGGCGGCCTGCTGCTTGCAGGCGCCGGACCATCGCACACTCCCACACGCACTCGTCGCGCACCACTCTCACTCGCGCTGCCGCCCCTGCCGGCGGCGGGCGATGCGTGTAAGGCTGCTGCTGCTGTGAGCTCCTGCGGCGGTGGCAGCCGTCGCGGTGTGCGTCCGTGCGGCGGGCCTTGCCTCGAGAGCGTGCGTGCGCCTGGCCGAACGGAGTGCAGCGTACTGCCTGCCCGTCTGCGCGCCGTCGCGACGCGACCTCGATCGGGCGCAGCCGCCGCCGCCGCCGCTTCGATCCAGCGCGCGCCGCGACACCTGCAAGCGCCCTCTCCGCCCCGCCCATCGCCATACATCCTTTCACCCACTCCCACAACGCCATCTATCGCCCGCAATCTAAATTTATCTCAAGTTTAAGCTTTAATTATACACAAATAATACTCATACAATCAAGTGTCATGCTCGCTCTATAATATCAGCGCATAACTTTCATATATAACAACTTTAAGTATACACGCCGCCATATTGCATCCCATCCATTTTATCCAGATATATTTATCCCAATCCGTGATCCTCGAAGAAACCTTGCGGTGTTTCCTCCTGTAAGCACAAAACACGTTTGCGTACAATTCACAAATCAATTCACACACAGAGAAAACAAAATGGACGCCATACATGTGAAGAGAAATCACAACAAATCTGTGTTTGTGCTTGATTGACACTCATTGCCTCGTGTAATTACAACCTTCAAATTAGTAATTAGTACATTATCACATGTTTAGGTATAACACTCTTAAGGTTATGTTCTAGAATCGTCTACAATACACTAACTACGTATACAATGTTACAATAATCATTTTTACAGCGTGTAAACGCTTACAATTCGTGATTAGTATAAAAATATTCAAACATAACCTATAAATGAACAACATTAGTGATTAATACATTAAATTCCAAAGTATTAGAAAGTTTTAAGGACGATTTGAATTATTTAACAAATATCTATGACTAATTTAAGGTTAGGTGTTAAGTGTGATTCAGCAGTGTGTGCCGATGGGATTCACAGCAGGCCAATATCCCGCAGAGCGCCCTCCATCGCCTCGTCCTGTCGTGTGCGCCGCCATTTAATACACGGCACGCAGAAAATGGCGGAACACAGAAACAAAAGAAAACACAACGCTAGATACACATTCTACTAAAGAAGTATTAAAGAAGTTGTCTCACCATTTGTAAGCAGTTATAACCTTATAAGAATCTACTTTATACACAGACAGAGTATAGAACACACCAATGCCACCCATCCACAAAATGGCGTCCGAACATACACAAACACAACATTTATGTACAAACATTGATAGAGTCAAATGGATAATATTACACTTTTTTTTTGTTTTCGGGAAGAAACTGTAACTAGCAAACAACGTCAGCCTTCAAATTTCAATATTTCAATATTAATCATCATAAAATGTTACAACTGTTTTGTACTGGTTAAAATAAGTAAGATATCTACAAATCTAAACAAAACACACATCTAATCAAACTACGAATATGTATATATACTTAATTTACAAACTAGTATAAAGTTGGGGATGAAATTTACAAATTTCACATTTATCTACACCTAAATTAGGTTAAAATTAGTACTGGGGTAGCGGTTAAGTTTGGTTAACAAGTTGTTTCAATAAAATTTCATTCCGTAGGTTAGAATTTACGAAAAAATTAGAGTGTTGAGTGTTTAGTTGTTACATTTTGTGTTTTGGCAAGTATTACTTCACAGCCTAAGGCTAACTTTACTTGTTGAGTGACCACTAATACTATTGGCACTTAGATATTAAACTTTTAAATGTGTAATTTGACTTGGTTATGGTTCAGACCGTTATACTTTGTATTTCCCATAAGAAATCATAGGTAATAAGTGAAGTATGACGGTCTGAATTTGTTTGGTGTGGTTTTTCGATTAGTTTTTAGTTTTCGCCTACAACGAATCGATATTAATTTATACATCAACATTACACACTCCTCTGGTTCTTACCTTCCCGTAAAAGTTCTAATACAAAGCGGCAAAGTAAAGAAAATCAATTAAATCATTAAAACTTATAAGATAAACACAACAAACACACAAAACAAGTAAAACAATTCATAATAAACTAAAAAAATTGAAATAAAATAATCTCTAACACTGTTTTGGGTTTATGTTTGTGTAGTGTTTTGTGTAATAAAATTTCGTTTCACGTCGCCGTTGATTAAAATGACACACAATTAGTGCTGGCACAAATACACACATTACACGTACAGGCAGTGGTGCAATATCGCAAATGGATTCGAATAACAATCAAGCACACACACAGATCCGTTTCGGTTTAATTCAACGCTTTACATCAAATTCAAAAACACGCAAAAATTCAAGTTTTCCTCATCGACGGAAATAAATCGCTTTTTTTTTGTTTGGTTTGTACAAAGAGTTAACGAGAGAAAAACGAGTTTTATCCTCACAGCTCAATGCAATTATCACCGTCACTAACCTCTTGCAGGAGATCCTGGGCTGCGATTGCCTTCAGCACGTTTTTCTTGCTGGTTTCTTGAATCTCTCCACCCAGTAAGAGCTCATCGAGGATGAAGTAGGCCTTTTCAAAGTTGAAGATTATATCTAACTCACACACCTATACATTATAAACATATTAAACTGTTGAATTTGTTTAAATTTGCGGTTTTAATTGACATACACTGCCAAAATACTTATCCAACAACTCGACATAGCGATGAATGATCTCCAATGTGAGCAGTTCATTGTCATCCTGCTCGATTGCACAACAAAAGTACAGACTTGCATATCTGTATTACATAAAAACAAAAATATTAGTGTTTTTGTTGCATTTTAAAGCTTTAAATATTATTTTACCGTTTGTAGACGATTTTCAAATCACGCCACTCAAGAAAACTGCACATTTTCGGCTTGCGTGCGAGTATCATCGTGATCAACTCGCGTGTAATCTTCTTCTTCAGCTTGTCCGGATGAGCGTTGTACCATTTCTGTAGTCTGAGCTTGCCCTGACGGCTGAACAACAGCATGAATTGCATCTAATTGTGTAAAAACAAAAGCAGTTTGTTAGAGAGTGTAGAAAATGGCGGATGTTTTTCCACCTGCGTTGGCGATTGTTTTATTGTGCTTACCATTGAGGTTGTTATTAACTAGACGCTGGTATGGTACACGTTGTTCATAAGGATTGAACTAATTAAACACGTAAACAGAAATTTTATCACTTCACACGTACCGCCCGAACAAACACATCACATTACTATCTTCGTGTACTAACTTTACTAGTGTACGGTTAACCTGGAAATTCTACGGCTGATGGTGACACATTCATGGTAGGCAATACATTTTACACCAAGTAAACAAATGGTAAAGTAAAGCTATGCATACACGTTTGTGCATTTGAAGAAATTTATTTTAAAAATTGTTTTTTATTGTTTATAGAGATATACAACTGTGATTGGAACTTGTGCACTCCTGACCCACAGGCAATGTGTTTATCAATTGATCCATCATACAATTGATGATTTTACACAAGAAACTTTAGTTTTTATGTGTATGACAAATTGCATACGTTAAAACCACGTTTTAATAGTGATAACCTACAAATATCATCAAAAACCAGTGAAAATAAGTATAATTATGGATAAAACACTTCAGAACAATGATTTACAGCTTAAAAAGTATTATTTTTAGTTATTTACCTTTAAGAAGCAAATAAAAAACACTTTTTGGTTGCAGGAACACATTGTACCTTCCAAAACTAGCCGAAATGGTTCTACAAGATGCTAAAACAACCTATGAAGAGCAAAATAAATGTAAGTTTATAAAATTTTAACAAATTTTACCAAATTTTAACGTAAAACTCATTTAAAACCACCAATAATTTCAGTTACTCCACAAATCTATCAACAACTCAACGCCATCTATCCCGATCAACTATTACCAGCGTTAGACATTTTAGACAGATGTAAGTTTATAAAATATCAAGTATTAACTGAAACACGTTGTGTTTATAAGTTAATATCACGCAGAAATCAATTTACACTGCAAGACAATGTAAATTTCTGCGTTTGTGCGAATTTCATCGAGAAAGTGCTAAAAAACTCGGCGGCCATTTTGTGTGAACACATTTTAGCGCTTAAACTTGCAAAAATAGTTGGTTGCATAAAAACCGAAGTCATTTCAAACGCACAAATGAAAATTTTATTGATAAATGAAGTTTATAACAATATAGGCTTCAAAGGTTTCGAAGAAAGCGAAGAAAATTAATTTTTTCATAAAAATATCATTTTAAAAGCAAAATTGAATCAAAATCAATAAAAAACGAGTTATTTTCACGAAGGACTTTGAAGGATTCAATGCTTTTAAAGGATTTGAACCTTTTGAACCTTGACGCAGACGATTAAATTGTAATTAAGCGTATTGTATGTTTGCGTCACACGTACACTTTATTTTTACTCCTTTTGTGTGCAGGGGTGAGTAAAGGACACAAATAACTACTCAGTGCGCATGCGCGTCGACCGCCAGTTCCAGGCTCGGGCGCGACTGCCGCCAACGGACGAGGACACCAGTCAGTCGTCCTGCGCGCCGCGACCGCGCGTCACCCTTCACGACCACACCACATATACACAAAAAGACAATCTTTTTTACCCACATCGCACGCCAACACCATTAAAATAAACTTAAACAAATACGGCGTGACTTGCAACTTTCCAACACCGATTTTAACCCTCATAAATGTTAAATCTCGTACATTTTAACCCGGAAAATTTTATTACGTGCGTAAAACTAGTGGAAATTAATAAACTGGTGTGAATATGTGTAAGTTTTAACGACGCAAAATCGAAATTGATTTTTTTGCGGATGCACGGTCACCGCCGGACGCAAAATGGTCATTTATTATTCACGACGACTCGTCCTTATGATATTGATATAGGACACACAAGAATGTAGTCCACCCGTCAACAGTGAGTATAGTTTTTATTCACAAAATACAAAAACAATCATTATTAGCTGTAAATTGAGGTTAAATCTGTTTGTTTGCCTTATTAGCCGTAAATTGAGATTAAATCTGTTTGTTTGTATTTTATGCCATCTAACGGTGGAATTTTTAAGGTTAGGGTAGTGTATATTGTGTAGTTTTGTGTGTGGATAAGTTATGCTGATGAGATTAATGTGCGGAAAGTGTACGGGCACAGGAGGAAGGAAATTCCGATCAAAGGTCATGATTGCCATGCAAAGCGCCGCACCAAAACGGCGTCGATATGAATTGTGGATACCGGCGAAACCGGGATATCGATTACCTTTATTACTTTTATTATTACACACCTCTCGCTATTTATGTGCGGACATTTTAGTGATTTTCATGTTTGTTTGGTTGCCTAATGAATAACTTTGACAGAAATTAATAGTTTTTTAGGTTAAAACAAGAAATAAAGTCATAATATGTTAATTTCGCACTTCTAATGCAATTAAAGGAGAAAATATTATAATTTATGTAATTATTTAAAGGAAATTCCTTGAAAATGTCAAGATATGAAAATTTTTCATAAAGAAAAATGCGGAAAACATGCGTCACGCTTTAAATATGCATTATTTACTTGCAAGTTTCAAGTTTACAACGTAAATGAATAATAAATGTATTTTTTAATGTAGGCAACACATATTACATTACAATACGTTGATTTGCAGTACAATCATAGAATATACCTCAATTATGACTCATAAATCGTATAAATATATAAAATATCTGATATTGGTTCTTCCAATCGGTAAAACAATCAAACAACGTGTTGCTGTTGCGGTTGCACGCGATCCCAACACATTTGCAGCTTGTTGTCGAACTTGTCAAGTTTACGATGTGCACTTTACGTTCATATTTATTATATCTACACATAGAATACAATTGAGGTTACGTTTCTATTATATTTACTCTTTAAATAAAGCAAACAATGCAATTTCAATTGATTTATTGTGATGTAAGTCATTTGTTATGAAAGGAAATAGGCAACCAACATAACACTAAAAACAAACAACTGCACAACACAAGGCAAACGATTTGTACGAATAAAAATACGCCGGTGGAATGGAATGTACTGGGATTTAGTTGAATGTGTAGTTGTAGTGGGAATGACGATGATAGCAATCGATCCGACGCCGATCTGTTCGGCTCGGCCTCGGAGCTTTTTATATTAACGACCTATCGTCGATGCGAAGAGACCCTTTAAGTCCATAAAGTCCTTCGCGGACCTTCATCTTCATCTATTTATAGCTCCAACACCCCACCCTAGTACTAAAACTCAACATACACAGCGTATTCAATAAAACTCCTGCGAGTTATGCAATTTTGTTTACTTTCAGTGTAAAATTAGTTGCCTATATTTTATGCTTACAGATCAATTCAAGTTCTTCCCTTCTCATCAACGAAATCAACGACCTACGAGTAAAGAGAACACCACCCTAAAACCCCTAAAAATGTGATTACCCTAATATCATAATACGATAAATTTTAAAATGACGCGCGACGGTGATATAACGACTATATTCAACCCGCGTCGCAATCGCACACCCAGTGTTCTCGTCACGGATGAAACAGCACCAAGCGGTACAGCGACACCAGGCGGCGCTGCTGCAGCAAGCGCTGCTGCTGCTGCTGCTGCAACAAACCCAGCGGCTAACACCGCAAGCACAGCGGCGAGTACAACAGGGGGAGGAACGTCAGGCAGTGCTGCCAACGGTCCTTTCACTCATGCGGATTCAGTCACGAGTAGTCAACCGGACGGCAATGCAGCCGAACAACAATCACCAGCGACGCCTAGCGGACTCACAGCAAAGTACAAATCATGTTCGGATTCTTTGTGTTCATCATCAGCGAGAAAAGTAAGTAACACTCTGTATATTAATAAAAGAATGCAAGTTTGCGTGACAAAGTTGATTAATTTACTGGATTTACGATTACGCAATGAAATAAAAAACAACCGCAGTAATAAAAAATCTTAACTGTAGGCAACCAAAATTACATTTTAAGGTTATATAGTATATTTTAGTGTGTTTCCAGTGATTTAATCAAGTATTTCACTTCTTGTTGACTTGATAAACTGTAGAATATTACATCTGACGTGTTGAAGTAGTTCTCACGCGTTATATGCAGTCGTAAACGCTAACGACGCGCTCGAACAATTCAAGCATTTATTAAAGCACATAGTTGCGTTCAGTGGGGGCGGCGGCGTGCGTTTCCGACTTCATTTGGTAGTCAAATGTCACGCCAATCATGTGATTGCGTGTGCGCTTGGCATCCGCTTTCGTGACATTGAAAATTGCCTCTAATCCGTACGTATTTACTCTAATGTAATATTTAACCTCAAAATTTTAAGTAATCATTGTGTTTATCTTAGATTGGCATACTTCCAACATAACAAGGTTGTATGTTTGGTTGCCTAACATATTGTCCTTGTATGTTTGGAATAACCATGAACTAATTCTGTTTGTTTTTCTGTACGTCTGGTTGCCTGCAGATATATTTCGGTATATGGGTGACGGTGTGTGTGACGGCATCATGGGTGGGGGCGACGCACTGCATCAAATATCTCTACATCCAGAAGCCGGTCGATTACGACGACACCATCATCGTGCCGCAGGAGGGCAACGGCGTCAATGTTACAGCATTACATCGGCACTATGTACGTAAATTTAAATTTTAAATAAACATAACCTATTTTATGTTGTTTTGTGTTATATTACAGAGTGCGAATTATAAAGCACCGTTTTTTACCACGTGGTTTGTGACCAATTGGACGATGTTATTCTTTCCGTTGTACTTCATCAGTCGGTTGGGTAGCCGACGTTGTGAGTCACCGGCGGACATCTTGTCGGAAAGCGTGCGGGATTTTCGCGATAAAGGTTTCACAGCAGGTATTAAACAAAAATTTAATTAAAACTAAAAAATAAATAATTATTGTTTGTTTTTACTTCAAGGTCGTTTCCTGACGCGTTGCTCACTGTTTTGTTTGCTCTGGGTTGGGACAAATTACATGTACATTCGTTCACTGCACATCCTGTTGGCGACGGATGTAATGGCGCTGTTTGCAACAAATGTTTCCTTCGTTTACTTGTTGTCCTGGGTGATTTTGCACGAACAGTTTGTCGGTATAAGGGTAAGTTAATATATTACGCCACATATAGGCAACCAATATTACACATGTGCACATCTGGTTGTTATTTACACGTTAAAAAATATCCCTGGAATGCTCTCGGGTTCTAAAACCTAATTTCCAGTGACTACGCGGCGCAAAACACCTTAAATATTCATCGAGCGAGCCGCAGCCGCAATCCGACTCGTGCTTGCCTCGTTGGGAATATAAATCTTATTTGCATACATTTGTATGCGTTGAAAACACGTTAGGCAACCAGTGCTACTGCATTTACATTTTCAAATGTTGTTTTATGTTTCTGGTTGAATTAGATAATGGCTGTGATAATGTGCGATACGGGGGTAGCACTGCTTGCGTACATGGATGGCATCACTGGAAGTCCAACGCTTGGTGGGGTTGTGTTGGCAACGTCGGCGGCCGCAGGATCGGCGGTGTATAAGGTGTTGTTTAAGAAAGTGATTGGTGATGCTACGTATGGACAGGTGGCGCTGTTCTTCTCGCTCATTGGCATGCTGAATGCGGCGTTGTTGTGGCCGCTTAGTTTGGCGTTGTTTCTCACAGGGGTGGAGACGCTGCATTGGGAGCGGCTGCCATGGCCAGCGCTTTTGGCGGCTAGTGCGTTATCATTAGGTATGGATGTGGAATATTATTTTAAAAAAGGTTTGTGTTTTATTTTGTTTGTTTTGGGGTTATAGTGGCCAATCTTCTGGGGAACTTCAGTGTCGTGCTCACCTACGACTTGTTTATTACACTGGGGTTGATTACGGCTGTACCTGTTTCAGCGGGTAAGTTTTTTTGAGATTTTTTGATAATTTAGGGATCCTTTTGTGATTAGGTAGGTAAATTTAGGGAGGTAAAGCCACCCGCAACGACCGCTTATTCAGGTATCTCTTGGGGACGCGTTTACCCCCACCACTTTTTGCGGGTCGCTCACAAATTTAAAAAGAAATCGCTTAGTGTGGTAAGCGCTTTGTTGTCCAGAAGTTCTCTGGCATCTTTCTCAATTCTTTTCTTTTCTTCTGGTAATTTGGGTCATGCTCAAGGGTTCTCCCTTCCCCCTCCCTTTTCCAAACATTTAATACTCCCCTTTATATCTTACTATTGCTTTTTATTTATTTATTCATACAAAATCACTTAAATCACATCAACCTATTCCTTTTTACTTTTCTTCTTCTTTTCATCAACCTTACAACATTTACCCTTCAATTTCCTAACACCTTTGATCAACAACTTAACAATCCCATATAATACTCCCAAAAGCAATAGTAAAATTCCTCCCAAAAACGCCAAAACATCAAAATAGTAATACTGCCACACCGGAATCCTTGGTCCTTTCAAATGTTGGGCCCCTTTGTGTCTGATAACATACTCCGTCCACCAGATAGCCTTCTCCAGTGGTGTCATAGGTTCATCCTGGATTCTTTCAGCTAAACGTTTGACATTTTCACGGTATACTTTATTATCCATCACTTCCAAAATGGCCGCCTTGAAGTCCTCCATTGTTAAAGCATGGCGATTCAATGTCACACCCAAACCTTTAGCTTTGACCTTCACAGCATTTGCTTCCTGATCACCCAGGAAGGGTAATACTACCATAGGTACATGGGAGTATAAAGATTCTTCCAGGGATTGAATTCCTCCTTGGGTTATGAACAATTTAACATTGGGATGACCTAAATTTAAAATATACAAACATTTAATGATTGTAGAAGGGATTAAAATTGGTCTACTTACGTAAAACATCTTGTTGAGGTGCCCACTTAGTAATCTTCACATTTTCCGGTTTTCCCGGAAGTGTATCATCTTCAAACTTCCATAAAACTTTATAGGGTAACTGGGATAACGCATCCATAAAGGTTTGAAGCATTTCTGTAGACAAATCCTTAGTTTTGACATTGGTACCCAAACTGAAGTAAATCGCCCCATTTGGAGCAGAATCCAAATAATCCTGCCAGTCCTTCGGTAAAGGTTTAGGTTTCTTCATATGAACCCCACCAGCTAGATTAATTGTACTAGGAGTGAAAGGTCTAACCGCCGTGAAAATAGGGTTAGCATTCACAAACAACATATCCGTTTGATCAAACAACTCATCCATACTAGGCACATCATCTCCATAAATTTCCTTTGCCAAGTCATCAACCATCTTCATATTGTTATCCTGCATACGTAATAATAAACCTTTCAACGCCAATGCAATCACTCTTTGAAAAAGGTCAAATTTTCCTGATAGGGTAACAAAGACATGGGATATAGCACACTATGAACTGGGTTACCCATTATTTCATGGGATCTTCCAAAAGCATCCAGGGAAGCTATCCCAATCAAAGGACAGTTGTACTTGTGTTTCAAACCATAATAAACACCAGGGAAATGTTCAATCATCACAAGGTCAAAGTGCTCCGTTTTATTTTCAAAGACCTCTTTGACCTGAGGTAGAGACACCTGATGATGAATAATATCCATGCTCATTTTGGTCATCTTATCATCCAGGAGGAATTTAAATATGTTTTGCTTGATGAATTCAGCCATCATCTTTCTGAATGGACCATAGTTCTCCTTAATACTGATTTCTTTGAAGTTTGGGAGTTTCTCCTCGGTGGGATCTGATGTTATCACAACCATATCATGACCCCGCAGGGCTAACTCACGCCAGATTTGTTGGAAGAACATTTGGTGACTGTAGGAAGCAGTTGGGACGATCGCCAAGATTCTTGCAGGGGTGACATTTTGAAGGGTAGCGAATAATAGTAATAGAATTAATACTTTCGACGCCATTTTGGGGCCACACTACAACTTTCACTACTCTTAACTAGAATTTGACTGATGGAGTGAGTTGGTTCACATGACCTAATATAAGTAGTGAAATAATTACAAGTCATCAAATTGATAAGATAAGATTTTTATTGAATGAGACAATTGTCTGATGCAATTTTGATTTTTATCAATGAATCAAGTTAATTTTTCTTGATTTTTTTGGTTTTTCTACAACAGCATAATTTTTTGATTCCTTTGATTAATAATTTGATAACCCCGAAGGTTATTCCTAGGAGTAGAATGATAACCCCTCCCAAAAATGCAAAAACATCTAAATAATAGTATTGCCAACATGGGATTCTGGGTCCTTTCAAATGTTGAGCTCCTTTGTGTCTAAGTACATATTCCGTCCACCAGATGGCTCTCTCCAAAGGTGTCATGGGTTCATCCTGGATCCGCTCAGCTAATTTCTTGACATTATCCTTGTAAACCTTGTTATTAATAACTTCCAAAATGGTTTCTTTGAATTCTTTAGTATCTAAATTATAAGGATCTAGTGTAAGACCCATTCCTTTAGCTTTGACCTTAACAGCATTGGGTTCTTGATCTCCGAAAAAGGGTAATACCACTAGTGGCATATAAGAATACAATGCTTCTTCAATTGATTGAATTCCTCCTTGGGTTATGAAGAGTTTAACCTTTGGATGACGTAGGATATCTTGTTGGGGTGCCCATTTTGTTATCTTAACATTTTCCGGTTTTCCTGGTAAAGTATCAGCATCAAACTTCCAGAGAACCTTATAAGGTAGTTGGGATAACGCATCCATAAAAGTTTGAAGCATTTTTGAAGACAAATCCTTTGTTTTGACATTGGTACCAAGACTAAAGTAAATAATCCCATTGGGAGATGAGTTTATATAATCCTCTAGGTCCTTTGGTAAAGGTTGAGGTTTCTTCATATGGACCCCTCCAGCTAGATTAATAGTACTAGGAGTATGAGGTCTTACAGCAGTGAATAAAGGGTTAGCATTTACAAATAGCATATCTGTTTGATCAAACAACTCCTCCATAGTGGGCATAGTATCATCTTTATAAACCTTCCTAGCAAAATCTTCTATTAAAACATCAATATTCCCAAACATTCTTTTGAGGAAAACTCCAAAGATTACCGTTGTCAACCTTTGAGCAAAATTCAAATCATCTTGGAATGGAAGTTGTGAATTAGGGTATAATACTCCATGAACCGGATTGCCCATAACTCCATGTGACACAGGGAACCCATCGATTGCTGATATCCCTATCATGGGACATTTGTACTTGTGTTTAAGTCCATAGTAGATCCCTGGGAAGTGTTCAATCATCAACAGATCAAAATGTTCCGTTTTGTTATTAATCACTTCCTGGACCTGTGGTAACATCATCTGATGCTCTATGACCTCCATGTTAAGTTTGACCATTTTATCACTCATCAAGAAGGAGATGATGTGTTCACTTCCATAAGCATCCATTAGTTTCCTGAATGGACCATAGTTTTCCTTAATACTGATTTCTTTGAAATTTGGGAGGTTCTCCCCGGTGGGATCTGTTGTTATCACAACCATATCATGACCTCGCAGGGCTAACTCACGCCATATTTGTTGGAAGAACATTTGGTGACTGTAGGAAGCAGTTGGGACAATCCCCAAGATTCTTGCAGGGGTGACATTTTGAATGGTAGTGAATAATAGTAATGGAATTAATATTTTAGACGCCATTTTGGGATGACTTGCCGATATCACCTCAAAACTTAGACTAGACATAGATGTACTCATATTACTTAAGTGCTTTATTTTGTATTAGGTAATCTAATCTTTTTTAATTTTGTTATCTTTGGAGGTCAAGGACCTGCAACATTTTGCAATACCCTTGAAAGATAACCATATGAATAATATTATTACAAAAACAGTAGCTACTAAAGCCCCTAACACATCAAAATAGTAATATTGGTATAAAGGTATCTTGGGTCCTTTCAAATGTTGGGCTCCTTTGTGTCTAAGGACATATTCTATCCACCAGATGGCTTTCTCCATTGGAGTCATAGGTTGGTCCTGAATCTGTGCTGCTAGTAATTTTACATTGGCTTTATATTTAGGGTCCTTTAAAACTTCTAGAATAGCATTTTTGAAGTTGTTAGTATTTAGGGTTGTGGGATGTAGGGTTAAACCTAAACCCTTTGATTGGACCTTAACAGCGTTGCCTTCTTGGTCAGCTAAGAAGGGTATTACTACCATTGGTACATGGGAGTAGAGAGCTTCCTCTAGGGATTGGATCCCACCTTGGGTTATGAACAACTTAACATTGGGATGTCCTAAAGTTGAATATAAAGGTTAGGTTATTTTTGTTGTAAATTTGAGGTTATATTTACTTAAAACATCTTGTTGGGGTGCCCATTTTGTAATCATGACATTTTTGGGTTTTCCTGGTAGTGTATCATCTTCAAACTTCCAGAGAACTTTATAGGGTAGTTGGGACAAAGTGGTCAGAATGGTCTCACGTAATTCCATGGATAATTCTTTACTTTTTACATTACTCCCAAGACTAAAATAGATCACCCCATCTTTACCCTTATCAAGGAACTGCTTCAAGTCCTAAAAACATCAAACCTCAAAATTTTAAATTTACCCATCTTAAACCTAATACCTTAGGTAATTCCCTAGGAGGTTTCATATGTATCCCCCCAGCTAAATTAATAGTCGCCGGAGTATGAGGTCTAACCACAGTGAACAAAGGGTTCGCATTCACAAACAACATATCCGTCTCCCCCAACATCTCCATAACATCCACATCAACCCCAAAGTAATCCTTAGCATACACATTCATCCTTAACCCATCAAACTGCTCAAATACTCTTGCTAACCCATTGAAGACCACAACTATAATCCTCTCCCATAAACTAATATTCTCCTGATACGGAAACAGTGAATAAGGATACAATACACTATACACCGGGTTACCCATAGCTTCATGTGAGCTCGGGAAACCATCCAGGGACACAACCCCAATCATAGGACAACCAAACCTCTTCTTCAAAGCATAAAACGGTCCAGGCATATGTTCCACCATCAATAAATCAAAGTATTCCGATTCATTCCTGACGATTTGTTGGACCTGAGGTAATCCCAATTGGAAATGAATCAGCTCCTTACCAAGTTCATCCATTTCCGAGCTGAAGAAGATGTTGAACATGCCTTGTTCAAGAATCAAATCGATTATCTTCTTAAAAGGACCATAGGATTCACGAATACTTATCTCCTTGAAATTTGGGAGGGTCTCACCCGTGGGATCAGTGGTTATCACGACCATATCATGACCTTGAATGGCTAACTGCCGCCATAGTTGTTGGTAGAACATTTGATGACTGTAGGAAGCAGTTGGGATCACTGCTAATATTCTAGCAGAATCATTTTTGTTTATAATTATAAACAGGGTTAATAAAAATAGAGAAAAATATTTTAGAAACATTTTGGGGCCTGGGGTTTGATCAACTGATGAGATAACTCAAAACTAAATCGATTTACACGTATTTATCAGTTGTCAATAGTATATCAATAGAGATAAAGTAGATAACTATTTAAAAGTTACAGTTTAACATAGGCAACCAATATTACACGTTGTGTTGCATTGGGTAATGTAATATAACCTTGAAATTTTGTAGCATTGGATGTGGTTCTCTATGGTGCTCAGTTTGAAGGCATGAAACTCGCCGGAATGATCCTCATCGCAGTGGGTTTCTTCCTCGTCATGTTCCCGGACAACTGGCCTGATTATATCACGCGTCTTCTCAGGTATGTTTAATGTTTATAATTTTTTACTACAAAACTGGTCATAAAATGTTTTACAAAGCGACGCGTTAGCAAAGTTTATGATTTAACATGCGTTAGCCGATTCATTGTCTCATTCCGTAATAATTTCCATCGATTCTCAACAATTTGAAGGTTATGTCACAAAATGTATTTATATATGGTGATATTGATGATAATGATGATGTGTTTAACTGTTTTTGTTTAAACTGTTTAATATCAATGTTAGCTATCGATATTTTTAATAATTTTTACTTAATTTTGATGTAAATTGTGTTTGTGTTTATTATTTTGATGTGTATTGGGTTGCATACGTTCGCGTATTGCGTATAAACTCAACCGATGAATTGTGAGACTTTGGTTTGGTTCTGAGGGATGATTGGGTTTGTGCTGTGTGCTGGCTGTTCATTAGCGTCGATTTCTAATTTCTTTTTGCAGAAGAACCAGTCGTGTCTTCAGGGGGAAGGTTTGTCTCTCATGTTTAATCTTTCTCTCTCTATCTTTCGTTTGCCTTATTTTTCTCTTTCTCTTACTAAAACTAACCTCACTTTAATTCGATTCATTAAATTATATATATATACGACATTGACTATATTATTATATAAACGACATAACCTCAACGCAACGTACGTTCATCGCTTTTTAGTGTGTGCGAAGTGCGAACTAACAACTCTACTTCTCCATGCAGGTGCTGTGTGTGTTGGGCTGCCAGAATTCTTTGTTGACGTACACTGCTTGTCAATCGAAACATTTTCATTATCATCATCTCACAGAATATTAAAAAAACACTTTGTATATGGGGGCGGAGCAAATTGATACATTTTTCGGTTATTATTGGTATTATTTTGTCATTGGACGTATGCTATGTGCTTATATGAATGCAATTTACTCATAAAATGGATTTTAACCTCAAAAAAGTTAGAAAAATAATTAAAAAGCGGTTTTTTGGAATACTGGTATTTTTTAAAATCAAAATATAAATATAACGGTATATATCTGAAATAATATCAAATTGAAAAATACCGGTTTTGAAAAAAATACCGGTATACCGGTATTGATACCGGTTTTTGAAAAAAAAATACCGGTATTTTTATAATTTATTATTTACTCACAAAATTAAATGAAAAATATATTTTATTTTCTAAAAAAAATACCGGTATAAATTAAAACCGGTATTTATCAATAAATCCATTTTATGATGTACAGAATGTCACCAATTCTCACATCACACCATTAATATTCAAAAACAAAGAAAATAACAACAAATAAACCAAGTGTTGTGATAAATTTTTATACAATTTTCTATTCTACAGTAGGTTGATTTTGCACTTTAGATAAAATATAATATTTAATAATATCTAGATAATATATTGAATATAATAGTCACCATTTTCGTAAATCGCTTGGACACCTTATAAATACCCCGAATTTGTTGATATATCAATTGTTATAAAATCTGTACTCGAACATACTGTATGTATATTTATTATTATGCGCTTCGAATGTGTTTTACGCTTGTTAATAATCATCATTATCATTTTTTCGTTCCTATTAACACTTGGTATATTAGCATAAGCCCCGCCTACAAAGTGGGCGGAGCAAATTGGTATTATTTCATCTATTTTGCATAATTAAACATAAAAATTTATTTTTTTTCAATGAAAAATTTATTTTGAGACTAAAAAGTGACATTTTAATAGTTTAAATAAATTAAAAATGGCTTCCTGCATCATTTTCTCATTTATTGTATTTATTACAATGTCTGCTAATTAATTCATTTGATTATTATTATTATTAAAGCAATAACTTAGCCAATAAACATTGAATTCGATAATTAACTAAATAATGCTAACGCTAGTCGTTGTCTGTTTGTATTGTTGCAGAAATATCATCATGTTGAGTCACAGTGCGAGGTACGTAACTCAAAACTAACCTCAAATACAAACCCCCACATCTCTCCCCAATAGACTCCTCCTACTGACCAATAACACACTGCATTGTGAACAAACAATACACTGACTGTATGTTGTGATAATTTACTCGTACGTTCAAACTTTTTAATTTTCAAACGTTTTTCACGTTTATTTTCGTTTAGTTTCGTTGACCTTGAGTGTGACTTACACTTGTTTGTTGTTGCTGCGTGTTTACACATTATTTGACACTGAATACATATTCTAACCTCCAAAATATCGATTAATCAACAAAATACGAACATATTTTTCACACAAATCAATTTATAGGTTATAATTCATTAACTATATTCTAGTGGCTGTGTTGTATGTGATTTTTAAGTTACTTTCCACTGAATAATCTCAAGTTATGCCGGTGCACTAACTTTTAGGCGTTTTATGACGTGTTTGACATTTGACATTTTTGTCCTTGGTGCGTGCAGGTAGTTTTCTATGCGAAAAAAACTTAAATTTACTAATATTAATTTAGAAACGAATGTTTATTCATAGAATAGTAATAATTTAAATATTTAAATAATTAAATTTAAATAATTTAACATTTCTACACTAAAACACACATTACACACCGAATATTGAACATAACAAGTTACTTAAGGCATTTACTAATTTTCTTTACTAATTCTTTATTATTATTTATATTTATTAATATGTACAGGGTGTTTCGGGAATTTTTGTAACATTTAGCATTGTTTATATCATTTTCTGAATGCTTTTACTAGTTTTGAAACATCCTGTATGAATATTCTCATTATTATCTTATCTATTTACTCTTTTAACTCTTTTTCCAAAGCAGAGAAGACAGAAATCAAAGTTATTTTTAAATAATTTTGATTTTTTCGTTGTTTTCTGCTCGTTTTTTTCATTATTTTGGGTTTATTAGTAAACGAATTAATTCGTATTAAATTCTGAGTGTATCGCTGATTCGTTGTGTTTCTCTTTTTGCATTTTATAGTATGCCGACCCCGAACAGGGGCAAAAAACGTGACTTGATGTATGTATGCGTAATCGGCTGCGTTGTCCTCCTCATGATGTACAAAATACGCTGAAGTGCGACTGTCGGCGACTGTCGGCAACCAAACACACACACACTCACACAATTCTCCATTAAATCACAATTCATTGTTTCGATTGCTTCCAAACGCGATTGTTTTCCAGACATTTTCTAACATTCTTAAAATTGGCCTCTCGGTACAAACTACGAAATTAAAAGATTTTAAATATTTTCATACGAAAATACAGTTGAGGTTAGAATTAAAGTAAAAGAGTTAAAATTGGAGGTTAGTAGCGTGACGTAACGACTCACGACGACCAATAACTTAGAATTAGTATAAAATAACTACTAAAAGACCCCTGTAGTGGTAGTTTTCTTATTTTTTTGGTTAGTTTTGTTTTTATTCTCTGTGTGTTACTGTTTTTGCAGCGGCGAAAACGAAGACGACTTAAGGCGCAAGATGAGTGCACGCCGACGCAAGTATTATGGCAGTTTTCACTATCGCTGACATTTACAACAGTTAAATAGATAAAGTAACAAAATGGCCGACAAAATGTTTGAATTAATGAAAATTTTAGCGATGTTAGGGTTGAATATATGACAATATGTGTTACACATATAGATGGCGTTAGTTGTTTCCTATTGATGACGTAATTACGTAATAAAAACCTAAACATAAACATAAAGGGAACAAGATTAGACACTAACATTCTGTATAGGACAATACCGTACAACGTAAACAGGCTTAAGTCCCTTGACTTAACTTAAGTCACTTAAATTTTAAACTTTTAAAGTAAACTACGTAAGTTTAGTACAAAATAAAAATGAAAACAAGCTCAAAATGTTTGATTGACAATTGGCTGTTGAAAGAATGTTAGAAAACGAAATTCACTCTCAATCCATTCGTGTTCGACGCCATTTTATTCCATTAGCAACACATAATACTTAACATAATTACAAGTACTTACCAAAGTAATACCATAATACCAATTAATGTTAACCTACCGTTAGTTTTTTGTCTATAAAACGAGAAATAAAAAAGTACCATTTGAAAAAACAAAACAAAAACATCATTAAACTCATTAATTTTGCAGTTCATATCATCATCATGTGTAATTATTGATGAATTAGCTAGGGAATGCGTAAATAGCGCTCGGAAGCCCCGCCCCTTTTTCTTGCCACTCGGTAGTTTTACTTAGTGTACAGAATATTATCAGTATCGTAGTTTAGAAGGTTGTTTAGTATTGAATACCGGTTGAATACCGGTATTTTGGTATACCGGTATTTAAAAAAAATTAAAATATTGGTATACATCGAAATAATATCGTTTTAAAAAATATCGGTTTTGGAAAAAATACCGGTATACCGGTATTAATACCGGTATTTGAAAAAAATATACCGGTATTTGGAAAATTAATTAAAAACTCACAAAATTACATAAAAAAATATAGTTATTTGTTTTAAAAAAATACCGGTTAACCGGTATTGATACCGGTTTTCCTGTAAAAAAATACCGGTATTCTGATTTTGATTCAATTAGGTATTTCAAAGAAAAATTCTCATTAACCGATATTTCTACCGGTATTATTTTCAAAAAACCGGTATACCGATATAAATACCGGTTTTTCACACCCCCCTAATTGCAACTTTTTAAAATATGAGAAAATACCTACAGTATACAACCCCCCTTACATTTTGAACGTTTTGCAAAACATAATAATCACATTTCGTATTTATAATTAATTTATTAGTTGTTACTTGTTGTTATATTGTTTCCTTCTTGTTGGTGACTTTTACACTCTCTGCTTATCTCTCTTTCCAATTGTACAGTGTGTGTGCAAGAGTTATTATAGTTTTCCGTTGTTGTTTTATACTCAACACAATGACATAACGACAGTTTGAAAACTAAACGAAGCGGAAATGCATTCTCACATTCACTAAACTCTGTGCACACGACATCACAGCATGACTACGTTCAACTCAACAAAATGGCGGACACTACGTATTCACATACAAACACAACATAACCACAAACACATCCGATTTGTTTGTTTGATTGTTTTTTATTCTTGTGTGTGAGGTAAGTGTGTTTATTCTTTATTTTTATACAGGGTGTAACAAATTTACACAATACTCTGTATATGCATGATTTATTTGCATGTATTGCATTTTATTCCTCTGTAGATATTTGCAAAATAAATATACAGAGTGTTATTGAAACACTCTGCATATTTGAGTAGTAAATTTAGTATTTGTAACTTATTACTGATTGAATTTGATTAATTAATTGATTAATTACGATTTGTCTCTTGTTCTTTTGTTTCGCTGTCCTTCCGAACAAAAAAAACCATTCTGTCTCTGTCTGTCTGTATCGCTCGCTGTCGCAAACAACTCTTCTGCCTATCTGCATCTGCTACTAACTCAAACAAACTCATCATCTCGATAAAACCAACCAATTGGTGAGAAAGGGCAAAGACGCCGCCGATGGCAACGACGCCGACGCAGAACCCCCACCAGTCCGACGTTCGCGACGCGCCACGTTCGCGCAGATTTTCCACTTTTCGTCTGCACACAACCAGCAACACACCGGCGGCGGAGACAGCAACGGCGGCCATTATACGGCCGTAGCCACACGCTCACCGAGACATTCACATTCACATCATGGCAGCGAGGAACAAGCGCTGATGATGCATGAAATGCCCACTACGCGGCGCTCATCGCCACTGATGCGCTTCGGCAGTCGACGGGCGTCTATGTTCTCATAAACAACATCCAAACATAACCTCTCAAACAACATCACTAGTGACATCTCAGCGGGAGAATGAAGAGAAAACCAAAGTTGTTTGTGCATGCGGTTGGTGTGAAACAAGAAACGAAATGTAAACAAATTATTTCACACACGTATCTTAACCTTATGGTTTTATATCAGAAGAAATTTGCACCCAATTAACGCATGTTAGATTTTCGTACTCATTACACAGAGAGTTATAAAATTGTGGATTCAAAATGACGCGATAAATGTTGAGTGAGAGTGAGTTGACATAACCTGATGCTAATTTTGATTCATTTGTTTGACGATAGGTGGAGCAGGCGGAGCAGGCATGGTGTGCAAGGTCCCCATCGCCGGGACGTGGTGGATTATCGTACCGGTTACATCAGATCCCATCTGCGCTCGCCTTCGGGCCGGGTCAGGTGACCGCCTCGCCGCCACCAATGCGAAGCCGCTGTGGGAGTGCCAGCGCTGGAAGCGGCTGCGGCACTAATACCCTTACAGCCGCTCGATACTATGGCACTGGCTACGATTCCGCCGGCGGATGTTATTCCGACTTCGCCGATACTTCCGGCGGTGGTCCCGGAGGCGGTTACGGCCTCACCGCAACTCCCTCGCACTACCATGCGGCGCGTGCGCGATCTCCGTCTCGATCTAGTCCGACGATCGTCATAGATGACACCACTTTCTGCGGATACAATGACCTTGACATTGTCTACACCTAACTCACCGAACCGAACATAACCTATAACTTTTACTAATATTAGCGAAGAAAAACGTAGCATATCGATTCATATCGAACAAATGTAGTGCGTAGACGTAATTAATAATGAGAAACAATCAGCAATCACGTTAACACTAATCAAATGCCAACATAATCTAAAATAACACCAATTTATGCAAGATATTTCAATACGATTTGCTTTGATTGCCGTTTACAGGGTTATTATATTAATATTTTACTGAAACAATCGTTGAAATCAATAATCTGCAATACAATCGATAAATACACCACTCAAACCGTTCACATGCACGTAGGCAACCAGTAATACAACTCTATCAACTTCTAGAGATATATTTTATTAATTGTTACCAATAATACTTCAAGATAGATCTAAAACATGTGTAAAAACATTTATTTTATGTGAAATATTCAATATCGCACAATTTGTTCTCATATTTTCTTCGATAGAACCTCAAAGTTATATTTATTGTATTGTGAACAATCTATAGCAATCTATATCTGTTACTAGAAGAATGTTATTATCTACAGTGATGTAATTTAATCAATGATACCAATTAAATCTTTTTATGCATAAATTTTCAACAATTTAAACCCACGTGTTTGGGCCGCTATAGGCAACCAACAATACACATTTGGGCCTGCTGTGCATGTGAAAACTAAAAACAAACGATTGGAGGTTACCCCGGGAGGAAAATCGTTTTTAATCAATAAAAACCGCTGAGAAAATGAACAAAGCAGCGCAAATATTAAAATCCCGGTAAATATCTATATTATTTATCATATTTTACACAATTTACACTGATTTTACTCATAGTTCTGGGCTGACAAACTTCAATAAATACCCTACTCGATTATTGTCAAGTTCAACACAAGTTCAAGCAGAAACCAAACAAAATGAAGAAATTTCTATCCCTAAACGTATTGAAAGAGGTCCTACGGATATTCTCCGTGCGCTTGGCAGCACAATAAAACGCGATATCACAGCTCCACATTATAAATATCATGATGACCCATTCATGATTCCAATGTCAAATCTAGGCAAGAGAACTTTTGCGCTTGCACGAGAATCCGGCAGGAAGACAGCACATTGGGTACGCGCTCAACATGCTAATTTATTTCAGCATAAGGATGCAGATCCACCAATTGAGATGTTCTTCCCTAAAATGGTTTATAATGAAAAGTCTGATGTCACCGAAGAAGATTTAAAATCAGTTATCAGCAATGTGCTTGTATCTGATGCTATTACTGTTTATAAGATGTTGAAAGAAAAAGGTGTTGAGATCAGCGAGCAGACAAAACAAGAATTTTTGGATATGTTATGCTTCTTTAATCATGAAGATTCTTTATCCGAGGAGTTTATTGAGGAAAGATGGTATAAACAGAGTGCTGGCAAGGAGAAAATAAGAAAAACATGGAAGTATGTACAATTATTAACAAATTTGAAGTGTATTATAGGTTAATTTTAACGTACACCAGATGGCGTGCTAAATCACCGCCATTTTGAATTTATCTGTCATATTTTAACAGGGATGGTGACCTCGCCGAAGAAATCTTCATCTCAATCAACTCCCCGAATGCAGAAATCTACTCTTCATTGATCTGCGGCATGGCTAAGTATTACCAAGTAGATCGCGCATATCAACTCTTTCAAGAAGCGCAGGAAAAGCAACTTGTTCTCAACACAAACGCATACAATGCAATCATACGCGTCGGTAACTTCCTCAAAGAATCCTATGACTTGCGTTGGTTATTTGTTAGGGATATTCTGTCAATGATGTCAACAGCTAAAGTAGCGCCTAATTTAGGCACTATGCATGCGGTGCTCGAAATTCTAAGCACAATGGGCACTAGTAGGAATACACGACAAAGTGTGTTGAAAACAATCAAAGAGTTTATACTCCTAGGGATTGAACCGTGTTTAGCCACGTGGTATTATGTATTGATCACGTATTGCAAGGAACGCGCACCGACGAGTTTCATCTTGAGAGATATCCTGCCGCATATTGAGAATAAAAATCATAAGATTATGGATGCAAAAGACACGTTCTTCTTTGTCACTGCGATGGATATATGTAGGAATCATCTACATGATCGGGAACTAGCGATGCGTGTTGATGCATTGTTGCATTACGGCGATAATTACGATTTAATAGGTGATTCTTTCAAAGAATCAATTTACTAGTAAGTTTTTTTGTGTTTTTATGTGTATACAATGTATTTATTGTGTCTTTGTACAGCCGCCATTATTTTCTGCTAATGTGTGACACGATGCCTCTTGATGAGTTCATGCAGGATGTTTATGACAAGTTAGTGCCACATATTTACGTCCCTGAACCGGCTGTAATGACAGAAATACTTAAATGTGTCGAAATGAATGCCGCAATTGAATATCTTCCTAAATTATGGACGGATATGACTTGTTTTGATCATACTGACCGTGAAAACCTCCTCACTACTGTTTTAAACATCATGGTTACCAATAAACCATCAGTGGAGAATGTAAAACTAATTGAACAGTTTGCGACGGTTGCATGGGGAGTTTGGAGTAAGATCGTTAATCAAAGCGAGAATAGAATTAAGAAATTGGCGTAAGTAACAAGTTTTTAATAGGATTTTTAATATTTTATGTTATGTTAAAATGTTTGGTTAGGTTTACCGGTGAAATGTTAGGCAACATCATGACAGTTGTCCTGTGGAACAACGATTTTGAGAAAGCATCGCTTGTTATGGATAAACTCGATAAAGATATGCATAGCGTGATTGGCATGCCAAAAATTGAAGCGTTATCTTTGTTTATCGATCATTGTATTGCAGAAAAAAGTCCATCGATTGCAATCGTAAGTTTTATCAACTTTTAAACATGATTTACACCATAAACATGTCTAATTTCTTTACAGAAATGTATACAATATTGTTCTGATAATGGATTTGCCGAAAGTGAAGAATTCGCGCAACGTTTGCAGAAAAATTTAACTCTTGATGAGTTTGACAGCGAAAAACTGTCAAAACATGTCGGTTTAGCACTTTCATCGAATGAAGAAGTAAAAAATACCAAAAACAAACAAAAAAAGAAGAGAAACAATAGGAAACAGAGTCAAACAAATGATGAATCATTTGATAATTAATTTTTGTATCATATTATAGTAAATAATTGAATTTTGCGCCTAATTATTGCCAGGCTATTTGTAAAATCCGTGCCAAGGTTTATGAACTTATAACGCATCAGTCATCGACAAACCCTTACGTATTTATTATGTTTGTGTGAGGTTGTGTTCCAATTTCTGATTGGAAAACGCGTGAATCTTTGATGAGACGCGCGCTGCGACCTTTGTCGCTTGGTTTCGAGGGTGGAGGGTGCATGTCGGGGCCTGCCTCAGCTCACAATCGTTCGTCATTTCGTTTGGCAACCATCGACAAACGCTCCTAACACATTAAAAGTGAAAGTTTTCATTTTAAATCATATTTTAATGAAAAAATTAATAAAAATTTGTTGTTGAGTGTTAATTTTGTGGCAGGTGTGCGGCGCACGTGCAAGTTAATTGAATCGTATGCCACTTTATGATTGATGAACAATTGTCGAAGCGCGTGCGGGATGCGGTTATTAGTTGGTTTAATAATAAAGTGTCTCCGTGCGGACGCCGGGTTGTATATAAGGGATGATGGCAATCGTCAACCGCCAGCCGCGTCAATATGCTGCTTGTGAGCGTGTGTATTGCGCTTGCCGTGCTGTTTCAGCCGCCTCCGGCGCACGGCGATAACTTTCCATCGTTGATTACTACTAATGCTACTTTAGGTATGTAAATTTTTATCAAAAAGGCTTAAAATCATGGTTATGCACAACTTTAACTATAGGCAACCCAAAATACACATAAATTCATCTAGAAATTCTTTTTACTATAAATTGACGTCATTTCCAGTGAAAGTTTTATATGTTTTGTATCCAATGAGTAATTCCAACAACTTGTTGGGTGAGAATGAAATTTGGGTTAAGGTGAATCATCACATCAGCGTAAGACAGGCGCAGCTTACGTCTCATCACTTATTCATCCCTTAAATTCCTTGCGTATAGCCAGGCGGCCGTGAATCCGTGCATGATTCCGACGATTCACATTATTCCAACGGTCAATGTCACTCTGCCACACATGCACACAAATATAATGAATAAATTACACAAAACTACGTTTCTTATGAATGCACAACGTTTTTTTCTTTGTTTTACATCTAAAACAATTGTAATTTATTGTTTTAGCTATAGTTATAGACAGGGAGTACCTCGCTGAAGAATTCGACGCCATTAAAGGCAGCATTGAGAATTATCTTGTGTTTGCAAAGCGAGAAATACTCAAACACGGCGGTGTGAATGTTAATTATTACACTTGGACGAGTATAAACGTCAAAAGAGGTGATTTTTATCATTTTTGAGGTTATATTAGATATTAATAGATATTTTTAGACATAACCGCAATTTTGAGCATTGCATCATGTAAAGACACGTGGAAATTATTCAAAGCATCATCAGAAGAGAATATTTTACACATGGCGATATCAGGTAATCAAAAAACATTGAAATTTATCAAAATAAATGAAAAAAATGAAAATAAACAAAATAATTTGATTTTTATTAGAAACCGATTGTCCCCGAATGCCTTCAGAGGTAGCATTCGCCGTACCACTGGTAAAAAATGGTGAAGAAATGCCACAAATCATCCTCGACCTTCGCACGTCGAAAGTGCTCAGCAAGTGGAAGTCCGTGACGATCCTCTACGACTCGACCTTAGGCATGTTTACTTCTCTCACACCAATTCCACTCAAATTTACATACAACAATGTTGCACTTGATTTCATTTATATTTATAAAACTCTTTCATCTAGATCGTGACATGGTAACCCGCGTGCTCACAGCAGTAACCAAAGAATCCGAAGCGTTGAAAAAAAACTCTGCCGTGTCGGTCCTCAGGGTAGATTCCAGCGGTACCACAACCGAACGCCGCATCGCCATTAAACACGCTCTGGAAAGCGTGAATATCAAAACAATGGGCACGAATTTCATGCCGATTGTCAGCAAAGAATCAATGGAACTCATGATGGACGTCGCTAAAAGCGCTGGATTAGTGACGCCATTAACCCAATGGTTGTACATTGTCTCTGATACTAACAACACAAAAGATAACATAAGCAGTGTGAAGAAAGTGTTATCAGATGGTGATAACATCGCATTCGCTTACAATACAACCTCAGGTGGTACCACATGTCTCGGCGGGTTGCAGTGTCACGCTGAGGAAATCCTCGAAGCTTTCTGTAAAGGTCTCGAGGCTGCAATCATCGCTGAATTTGAATTAGCTAGTCAAGTATCCGATGAGGAATGGGAAGCCATCAGACCTTCCAAACAAGAACGCAGAAATTCTCTGCTTGGTAGCGTTAAAGTATAACCTCAAATATAATCATCAACATAACCTTAAATTCTAACTTTTTAACTTTTGATGTGTAGAGTTTTCTATTGCAATACGGTACGTGTGACAATTGCACGAATTGGAAGTTCCAGGCGAGTGAGACCTGGGGCCGTGAGTTTCTGACGTCTTCCAAGCAGAAGGAAAGTGAACAGTTGCTGCATGTGGGATCATGGCGGCCGAGCGATGGCGCGTCGATGCACGACGAGCTCTTCCCGCACGTTGCGCATGGTTTCCGCGGCAGAAAACTACCGCTGGTTTCTTTTCATGTAAGCATTTGCTAAACACTCTGTATAAACAGGTTAGGCGCTGGTGATAATGGCGTTAATTTGCATTTTGTGAAATTCTTGGAGTGGTGATCACGTTTAATGCACGCGGTTGTCACGTGACACGTTGTTTACAACTTTCTGGTGTTATCCAGACTTGTATCAACGTATTTTAACAAAAAAACTAATTTTTATTGATTATATATGAAATTTATGTAAATACGGGTCTGTTTTATAAGTTTTGGGAATAGAAATATTAACATAAAACTAAATTTAGCTTAAAATCAGTGGAAGGTCATTGCTTTCTGTCAAAAATGTCAAAAATGTCAAAAATGTCAAAAAAACATTTTGGCAGTTTTTTTCTTAAAATTTCTTCTAATTTCTTATAATTTTCAGAATCCGCCATGGCAAATAATAAAATACAACGATACTGGTGTAGTGGAACATTCCGGCATTGTTTTTGACATTATCCGCGTCCTGGCGACGAGTTTAAACTTCACATACAGTGTGGAAGTGTTACAGGTGCATAAATCAGCGCGTAACGTCACTTCCGCTTCGATGTTTAACCAAACAGTCGAGGAAGCAGCCGTTGAAAACCTTGAATTATCCGATATCAACACACATTTGATACCGGATAAAATCGTGCAGATGATTCAAAGCCGGCAGGCGGCGATGAGTGCCGCTGCTTTCTCCATCACAGAAAATAATAAACAATTCGTTAATTTTACCATGTCTATTACAACTCAGCCGTATACTTTTCTAGTAGCACGGCCGAAGGAACTAGGAAGGGCGTTGTTATTCATGTCGCCATTTAATAAAGACGTAAGTGAACATAAACAACGTAAAAATAAAATAAAACTTAATTTGAGGTTATTTTTTTATAGACATGGTTATGTCTAGCTGCATGCGTCATAGCAATGGGTCCGGTTTTATATTTCATTCATAAATTCAGTCCGGTGTATGAATACAGAGGAGTGAGTAAAGCTGGTGGCCTAAGTTCGATACAGAATTGTATTTGGTTCATGTACGGTGCATTACTACAGCAAGGTGAGGTATTTGTGGGTTGCCTATAGTTGTTTGATTTTTACAATACTACCAAACCATGAAAACGCACCGAAAGATTTACCATCTTCGCTGAAATCCAAATCAAGTCGATATTTGCCTTCGGGTAAATACGGCGGTAGTTTACTATCGTCAATCACAAACTGATCGATATAATAACGCCCCTAGCGGTGGAAATTGTAATCATTACATTAATACATTCAACTAAAGTTGCATAACTTACTTTTTTAACTGGACATAATGTAACGTTGCCATTTGTTGTTGTAACTGCTGTTACACCAAAACTATTCTTTATCAGTGCATCGCATACATTAAAGGATAACCTAACAGGCGCGTATCTTTTATAAACATTACTCATAAACTTAAACGCCGCGACATTTATCTGTAATATAAATAGGTTATGTTTGTAATATCATAATATGTTTAGGTTATGTTTTTATTTTACCATTACTGTTTTTTTAACGCCAAAATCTCGCAGTAAAGTACCTTCAGCACCAAAAGCACGCGCAGTACGATTAAACTTTTGGTTTTTAAGTGTAAAATTCGCAAAAAGCGCTTTATCAACGCTTTTTAACACGATGTGGTCATGGAAAACTCTTATATCTTTCTGGTGAAAGTCCACAGAGTCGCCATTACACTCCAAGCGAAAAAATGATGTAAAAAGCACTAAAAATCGAAAAACTTCCGGAAATCTCATTGTAAATTTTGGTAATGCGTAAAAATCAAACAAAATCACTACTTTTATAATATATACTTATCAGATTTGCCTAAATTTGATGATTGTGATTATTTATAATGTATTTTTAATCACTCACACACATTTATTAACCTTTTTTACTCATAGATGGCGTTACTAATACACATTTCTTCTTTTTTCTTTTTTTGGTTTCTGAAAGGTGGAATGCATTTACCATCAGCTGATAGTGCCCGAATAATCGTCGGTTCCTGGTGGTTGGTAGTCCTGGTCGTAGCTACAACCTACTGTGGTAACTTGGTTGCATTCCTAACCTTTCCAAAAATTGATAGCCCAATCTCCACAATTGGCGATTTGCTTGAAATGCGCGATACAATTTCGTGGAGCATAAGTCCCGGTTCATATTTACAATCAGAAATAAAAATATCCAAAGAACCGAAATATCGCACTTTATATTCTGGTTCTAATTCATTAGACCTACATTCAGCGACAATGTTGCCGTTAATTCAAGAAGGCAGACATGTTTATATCGACTGGAAATTACGGTTGATGTATGTGATGCGAAGAAATTATCTTGTTACGGATAAATGTGATCTTGCGTTAGGTAATGTCAATATATACAAAATAATGGGTTCAAATTTAAGGTTATGTTGTTTTTTGACAGGTACTGATGAGTTTTTCGAAGAACGACTTGGTTTAATAGTCGCGCCTGGAAGTCCTTATCTACCACGAATAAACGAAGAGTAAAATATACTTAAATTAATTAAAAGTAAGATTTGATTTTTTATTTTAAAATTTTATTGTTTTAAGAATTAAGAGACTTCATCAAAATGGTTTGATTGACAAATGGCTGAAACAATACATGCCTAAAAAGGATAAGTGTTTCAAAGTGCGGAATGTTGCCGAAGCGAACAATCACACCGTCAACATGGACGACATGCAAGGAAGTTTCTTTGTTTTATTTTTTGGTATTGCAAGCATTTTGGGTTGCCTATATAACATAAACTGATTAATTTGCTGTTACAGGATTTATTCTTGCTTTAATGTGGATAATCGGCGAAAAACTCTGGTACAAATACGGAGTGAAAAAGATTGCCAAAGTGATACAACCATATTCATCATAATATTCATCATCTAATCTATCTAATAAGTACTAAAATATGTAGTATTACTAAAAATACTATTATACACTAACATAACCTATAATTTTCCTGTCATTTTTTGTGTTTGTGTGTGGTTATGTTGTTTTTAATACCAATATTAGAATTTCTTCTTTTTGACAATTGCTCCATACCAGGATATAGCCCCAAGTGGTTCTTTATCCGAAAGTAATTCCAGCGCAATACGATATTTCCCTTCAGGCACAAACGGCGGCATTTTATCTTCATCAGGAATATAATCATGGATGGCAAACACGCCTGGTTTAAATGGACAATCAGTAAAGTTACCGATTTTATCTCGGAATTCACCAACGCCGAAAGTATTCTTCCTCAGGGCATCACAAGCATTGATTGTAAACTTTATCGGTGCGAAAAGTTTATAAACATTGCTTGTGAATCGATATGCTTGCACACGCGCCTTTAAAAATAAATATACAAATACATAACCAACTTTTAGGTTAAATTTTAAAAGGTTATGTTACTTACCATAACTTTGCTTGGATGTGGCGCCTTGTGAATGTTTAAAGTCAACGAAAACGTGCGTTGAGTACGATTATATTTCGTATTTGTCGAGGTAATATCCGCCCATTCTTTGTATTCTTTATCTACGACAAGACGATCACTTACTATGTTGTAATCTTTTTGTGCAAACTCAGCGCCATTTGTAATTAGCACCAATGATAATATAGGCCATATTAAAAAGGCCGACATTCTGAATTCATTCATCACAATCATCTTCTGCAATATTTTGTTTAATATTACCAAAATTTAAGCGAAAAAAAACAAATTTTGCGATTTTTTTTAATGCGTTTATAATTTTCAGCGAAATTTATCGCCAAAATCATTATAAATAGATAATTACATATTAAAATAACATCATTAAAACAATTTTTAGGTTATATACTAAAATATTACACTTTTTTAAGGTGTATACTTGGTTGCATCTTGCGTTTTTCTTGAAAAATAATAAAAAAATCTTTTTCTTTAGAAAAAAAAACGCAAAAAGTTTCCAATATGAATATTTATCGTTCTCAGGAGATTATAAACTATAAATAGATGATGTAAATTAGTTTCTGATTACATTGCTAATGTTTTCCACCTTTGAATCATAGTAATTATCTCTTTATAATCATTTTTACATTTCGGTGTAAATTATAATGACATTAATCTCTATATAATTTCACAACCAAATTTTATCATACTCAATATTCATTTAAATTTTGTTCTTAAAACTTCTCATATCATAACCTAAAAAAAATAAAATGAAAACCGCCATTTTGTTTTTATTTATCATCACATTATGGAAATATACCCATACAGCCGAGTTTAAACAAAATGATTATCACATAATCAGCGATCGTCTTGTCGTCGACAAAGAATACAAAGAATGGGTTGACTTTACTGTTACAAACACAAAATACAATCGCACACAGAGAACTTTTTCAGCTGTTATAAATATACGCAAAGCTGTACATCCCTCAAGAATAATGGTAGGTTATGTTTTTTGACATTTTCTGACATTTTAGGTAAAAACTTAATTTTAACGTTTTTTAGGTGCGTGTACAAGCTTATCGCTTCTCCGGCAATGTTTACAGATTATTCGCTCCTCTGAAACTCAATATAAACGCGTGTGACGCCCTTCAGAAGAATTCATTCGGTCTTGGTGATCTACGCAACAAATACGGCAATTTAACAAACTGTCCAATAAAGCCCGGCGTGATGGCTATTCATGATTACGTGCTGGATGAAGATAAAATGCCTCCGTATATACCCGAAGGCAAATATCGTCTTGCGCTGGATTTTTTCTCCGACACCACTCCCTTAGGGGCTATTTCATGGTATGGCGCTGCTGTCAGCCGGAAGAAATTCTAAGTAGGGTTATATTTGTATATGCAACCCAATATACACCATGCACCTATGACATCCCTACTAATATTATAAATGCGAAAGTCCTGATGTTTGTTACACTTTCACGCAAAAACTACTTAACCGATCATCATGAAAATTTGAACATATATTCTTAGTGGTCCCCGAATGGTTGTAGGCTACTTTTTATTTAATAAAAAATTAATTTTAAAAAAAAATAAAAAAATTGTTTAGCCAATATGCAACTTATAATACATAGAATGTGTATAACTGGTTGCGTCTTGTTTAACACATGAACAACACAACATCCCTACTAATATTATAAATGCGAAAGTCCTAATGTTTGTTACACTTTGACGCAAAAACTACTTAACCGATTGTCATGAAAATTTGTACACATATTCTTAGTGGTCCCCGAATGGTTATAGGCTACTTTTTATTTAATAAAAAAAATTATTTTTGAAATAAAATAAAGAAATTGTTTAGCCAATATGCAACTTATAATACATAGAATGTGTATAACAGGTTGCGTCTTGTTTAACACATGAACAACACAACATCCCTACTAATATTATAAATGCGAAAGTCCTGATGTTTGTTACACTTTGACGCAAAAACTACTTAACCGAACATCATGAAAATTTGTACACATATTCTTAGTGGTCCCCGAATGGTTATAGGCTACTTTTTATTTAATAAAAAAAATATTTTTTAAATAAAATAAAGAAATTGTTTAGCCAATAATACCTCTGCATCTGGCTATTTGACTACTTTAACGCCATCTAGCATTCCAGCAATGAAGCTCAAACCTAAGTACTATAGTACCATCACACTGTATTATCACACTGTATTACCGACAGCTACGTCAACATCAAATCCAATTGACTACACTATGGAGACTGTACACTATACTTCAATAGACTATACTTTCAACCATTTTAAACTTCCCGCCATTCTACTTCATTGATACTTCTTCTGTGACTACAGACGCGTATGGAAGCAACTTCAGTATTTTAGATATTCGCGGGTTAAAGCTAGTTTTACATATTTCTTGTTTTTATGGATTAAAATAAGCGCACGACACAAAATGGTCATTTTATGTAAATAATTATTAATTAACTGATGCAATAACAATATCGGTTCGCATCATATCATCAACCGAAACTCATCGGGCAAGAAAGCGGTAATAAACTACGTGTATGCAAATTTTATTCCATTTAACGCGCGCGTTTGAGTTTTAAACATTTATCAGAAGAAAACTAGTGTGGACGATGGTTTTTACACGATTGAAAACTTAAAAATAAACGCGCACGACTGCAGAGTGATTAATACAACGGAAAAAAACGTTTTTGCATAAACAATTCACGTCTGTCGAGGCGTAGACATCGAGAAATTCTTTGATTCGTATAAAAATAGTTCATTTGCATCTTGTATGCAAGTGCATGCTGCATTTTAATGGCGGCGGTCGTGTCTAGACAAGATGGAAGACATATTGTTGCTAACGGCGGCGCACAGAATAATTAAATTTCTATTTTAGCGTGATTTTTAATAGTTTTTGAGGTTATTTGATTAAAATGAATTTTAGTAATTCTTAGGAAATGAAAATGTTTAATATTTTTGTGTCAAAACTTAGAATCCTTGCCACCTTTAATATTTATTTTTGTTTTTAATCTTGAAATGGTGCACGTGATGTTTGAATGCACACATACACGACTTTTATAAAATTTTAGAATTTTTTATTTAATTTTATCTTTAAACCACCTTATATTAAAAAGTAGTGTATATTTGGTTGCCTATATGCAACTTATATAATATAGGTGTTGAAAAAATGTACATAACCTAGTTTTTGTCTATATTTTAATGTTTTCTTTGTTTATTTAGTTTTTTTTCATAAAATTTCTTGTCTCCTGTGTACAAACGGGTTCTAACGTAACAAAATTCAAAGCATTCTCGTATCGCATATGAAATTTATGCAAATTCACTTGTTGCCTGCGTCGCCCGCTGCCGCAGCTTCCAGAACCTGCAGATACGACGCCATTTGCTATCATGTGTGTGTGCAAAATTCAAGTTTTGATTCTTGCCTGATATAAAACCACTGCTGCGACGGCGACCGGCTCAGTTTCGTCGTGCGCTTCGAAAGCAATTTATCGCTCTTTCTTAATGTGTGCCAACAACGTATGTGTCAATGAATAGTAGGCTTGACGTGTATAAACCCAGTTCGAAGTTTCTGCCAGTCATTCGGTAATTATTTCAGCTACTTTACACGAAAAACACAAAAAAATAAAATAAAAACACGTTTCACAACCGCCATTTTGATTGTGGCATAGTAAACATAACATATGTTACCTCCAGCGGCCATTTTTAATTCTTTTCTTTCATTTCTCCGTGATTTAGATTGGATAAACACCTGAGAACTCGAAAAGGCAGTCGACTTGGCAACTCCGGCAATCGGTTAGAACTGCAGGTGCTCACCCAGCTCCATCACGTGCCCTAGCTTGACCACGCCCACATTAGACACCAGTGACATCTATTAGCATCAATCGCACGCACGTCTAGGAAATTAACCTCATCGCACACCGCACACAGCATTTCAAAATGGTCCAGGGAACTTCGTACGACTACGGCACCAAGGTGACGCCCGCGTCAGCGTCCTCGTGGGAGAAGGCCTCGGCGAAGCGCTCCGGCTACGAAGCCGTGCAACGCGCCGATAAAGAGCGCCAGGAGCAGAAGGCCAAAGAGGCGAACAAGTATGGCGCGTGGGGGTCCACCTTCAAGGGGCGTGATCACTTTGCCAGCATGCATCACTGTTAAATTATTTCAGTAATGCAGGCGATAAAGTGAAAATAATCTAAATTTTGTTTGAATAACACATTACTAAACTTTAAAAATTGCAATTTTGTTTTTGTTTTGTCCGGGGCTGTGTAGCTGTAGTCGGTAGTCATTTTAATCACCATTTCGTTTGTTTTTGTTTTTTTTTTAAGTTTTGTTTTGCACCTAACACATGGAAATAATGCTTTGTACACGTAATAAATGATTAATGATCATATTGATCATATTTTTAATATGTTTTCGTTCAAGATTTGTTTTGTATCGTCCACTGGAGGTGCATCGCTGTAGTTTGGGTTGCATACAACTACTTTTAGTCATAGTTATGATTTATATTGTGCGTTCACTGAGGTGGCGCTGGCGCATGGCAGTAGTTAACCTCTGTCAAATTCGCACAAGTCGCGTGTTCATCAATAAAAGTCGTGTTTCTGTTTGTCAAATTTTAATTTCAAATAGCAAAATTTGATACATTATAAGGCAAAGAAAAAAAGTACATTTTACCCATAAAATAATACTTTCACGAGACAAACATCACTAAATTTTGTATAGAAGTTACGCTCTCCGAATTCCATCTGCTCGCACTTCTCAAGCAATTTGTTACATAAATTTGTTACTAATCATCCTTATATATAAACAATCAGTAGTAGAAAGCCGGGTGCGTACACTTCAACCAGCGGTAAGTCAGTTCAGTGCTACTTCTACAACATCCCATCATAGTACAATCAGAGTCGGATGGTGTGCTCAACGACGTCAAGTTGGTTGCATATATTTTGCATATCTTTTCGTATAGCGTGTATGTGTGTGTCAATGAGTGCGCGCATGCGCACCAGCGCACAGCCAATCAATCATCTCTATACTCATTGTGCGCCTGCGTGCTGTGATAATCTGGTTCGGTTCAACGATTAAAGAAAAAAACGTAAGAAAGCAATATATCAAAGAAAGCGTTCGAAAATAATCCAAATCTAAAAAAAAAAATTATTTGCGAAGATTTTTAGCAACTGACCAGGTTGCAGGAGTTTAATAAGTCGTATAACCCACTAAATAAAAAAGGAAGTCCCATGAAAAAAAAATTAATTAAAAAAAATAATTGTTTCGCTAGTTTTTTCTCCCCCAAGAGGTGATTTGAAATTGAGATAGGGCAGTTTTTTGTACGTAGGTATAGTATATATATATATAATTATTATATCAGAGGTTAAGTTATCAAAGTTCAACTGAAAATTTAATCAGGGCTGAATAGGATGCATGTGAGGTGGTGCTAGTGATTGATATATAATATGGTGGTGTTTTCATAGACTGACTTACTCTAATGGGATTCGTTCGTCATCACAAGTGTCGTCGTGTTGTGTCGGGTGTGGTCGGCGTGCGTCACCAGCATGGCACCGACCCTACTTGATGTCGCGCGCCCCCTCATTGGGACACGACAGTTGATACAGCAGCTGCAACAGAGTGCGCGTCGGTCGGCCACTCATGCGATTCTTGGTATAGTAGGGATACACTTTATCATCAGCCAGCATAGACACGCCAGTCGTGTCAAAGTGCAGCCAATCAATGCAGTGCACAAACTGATTGAGAAACGCCGCCGCCAGACAGGGATCACCCTTGCCCTTGCCCTTGTTATCCACATCCACCGACCTGTAGTTCGTCACCTTCTTGTCAAAGTACTTCCACAGCGGCATGCGCCACACGCGATCACCAGTGATGACGCTCGCCTTGCGCACCTGCGACCACATCGTCTGCGAGTTGGCGAACACACCCGAAGCGCCAAAGCCGAGCGCCGAGCGTATACCCGGCGTCAAACTGCCGACATCAATCAACAGACGCGGTTTGTACGTCGCCTGGCCAAAGACAATGCAATCCGCCAGCGTTAGGCGGCCCTCATTGTCCGTATCGGTAATCATTATACTCTTGCCATTCATACCCATCACCACATCGCCGCACTTCATCGCCATACCACTGGGCATATTCTCACACAGCGCAATCACCGCATTGATGTTGATCGGCAGCGAGAGGGCCGAAACGCAGCGCAGCGCGCCGACAATCGCAGCGGCACCGCTCATATCAGCACGATACCGAGACATGCCAGGACATTTCTTCAAGCAGAGGCCGCCACTGTCAAAGGTGATACCCTTACCCACCATCAGAATAGGTTTCATATCTTGCGGGCCTCCACAGTAAGAGATTTCCAGTAATACAGGGGGTTCACATGACCCGCGTGCAACCGCCATGAAGGCATTCATCTTGGCATGCTCAATCCAGTCGCGATCATGCACCTCAACGCGTATCCCGCATGGACACAGCTCATTGACGCACTCCTGCGCGAAATGCAGCGGTGTCATCAAGTTTGCAGGCGTGTCCGATAGGCGGCGCGCGAGATTCTGCGACTCCGCCTTGAACAAGCCGCGCTGGAAGCTGTCGCTATCCGGATCATCGTACAATTCAATCGAGGGAATCACTTTCCAGTGTTCGCGCATCTTGTTCTCCTGGTAGCGCCAGAGCGCAAGCGCAGTGCCTTCGGCAGCCTGCTCGGGAAAGCCAAGGCCCTCAACCAGCACACGCGTACAGCCCTGTTTGCGCAGCAGGACGCCGCCCATGCCGGCAGCCATGCGCACCGCCTCCATACCCTCGTCAATCGCTTCCAGTTCATTATAGCCCAGCTTCTCCTTACCGAGACCCACCACGGCAATGGCCCAGAATTCATTATCGATGTTATTGAACGCTTTGCCCTTGCCGGGATGCAGGCTGGCGCCCGATTGCTTTATCAATTCGAGAATCTTGTTGTCGCATTTGTCGTTGAACTTTTGCGCCGCCGGCGTGAAAACAGGCTCGCCATCTTCGCCCTCGTACACGCCCACAATCAGCCCCTTGCGTTCAGTTGGACACTCGTCGGAGCACAAGCGTCGGATGCCAATTATACGGCGGGTCACGTTCTTGAGGAAACCGCCGGGTGACCGAATCATCTTGCACGTCGAGGGGTTGTTGTGTTATTGATTGGAAATTTGGCGCTACTTGCCAAGTAGCCGAAATAGGGTTCTGATTGGGTTTCCCGTTCCGAGAAAAAGAATGTGTGCACTTCGGTTTACAGCAGGGTGTTACACATTTCACAAAAATAATTTTGAAATTGAGCGTCTGGGTTTTGAACGGTGCGTTTTGTAAAACAAACAGATTTTTTTGAGCGCCTTGCTTTACCGAAAGTGTCAATGGTTACCGCGTTATTCAAATTTTGACCCAGGTTTCTCTAGCAATTTTTACAAAATCAACAGTTTCCGCGGCCATCTTGATTCTATTTAAAACAATTGCATTCAAATCAAACAATCAAGGCGGCAATACAAAATCACGAAACTGTACGAATCTACCCGAAACTAAACGAACAGCAGTCACAAACAAATAGGTTATGTTTATTTACATTCGCATCAGTTGCGATGGCTTCAGGAAGTCAAAGTTTACCTGTGTCGCAAATATTAAAATCCAAAGCAGAATTCGAAGATGAACCCAAAAAGAAATCGCGTGAAGACTGGCGTAAGGCTAAAGAGTTAGAAGAAGCGCGTAAAGCAGGCACAGCGCCCGCTGCTGTCGATGAAGAAGGCAAAGATATCAATCCGCACATCCCGCAGTACATTTCAAGCGCACCATGGTATTATGGACAAAGTGGTCCGACTTTAAAACATCAACGTCCACAAGCGGAGAAAGAAAAAGTCTACTCACATCTTGATGAGTGGTATGACAGAGGCGTAGACACTGTAAGTTAATTAAACTCTAAAAATAAACTAAAAAACTAAAGTTTTATTTTATGTTTAGTCTAAGGTAGTGACAAAATTCCGCAAAGGCGCTTGTGAAAACTGTGGAGCAATGACACACAAAAAGAAAGAATGCATGGAACGTCCACGAAAAATCGGCGCAAGATTCTCCGGTGCAAACATCGCCGCAGATGAATACCAACAGAAGAATTTATCGTTAAACTACGATGGGAAACGCGATCGTTGGTCAGGTTATGATCCACGCGAGCACAGAACAATCATCGAAGAGTTCCAAAAAGTCGAAGACGCAAAACGTGCGTTACGAGCTGAGAAACTCAACGCAAACGAATCCGAAGAGGATGAAGATAAAGACGAGGATAAATACGTCGATGAAGTAGACATGCCAGGCACAAAAGTTGATAGTAAACAGCGTATTACCGTGCGTAACTTGCGTATTCGTGAAGATACAGCCAAATATCTACGCAATCTTGACCCGAATTCAGCGTATTATGACCCTAAAACACGTTCGATGCGTGAGAATCCTAATCCCAGCAAGGATGACACATACGCCGGTGAGAATTTTGTAAGATTCACAGGAGATACCACGAAACATTCGCAAGCGCAGTTGTTTGCTTGGGATGCACATGAGAAAGGCGTTGATGTGCACTTGTTAGCCGAACCAACAAAGTTGGAAATGCTGCAGAAGGAATACGACAAGAAGAAGGATCAATTCAAGAGTAAAGTACAACAATCTGTGTTGGAAAGGTATGGAGGTGCGGAGCATTTAGACGCACCACCGAAAAGTCTCCTGCTAGCACAGACAGAAGATTATATTGAGTATTCACGCTCGGGGAAGATCATCAAAGGGCAAGAGAAGGAGATTATCAAGTCAAAGTATGAGGAAGATGTCTACATACACAATCACACGAGTGTTTGGGGTTCGTATTGGAAAGGCGGTCGATGGGGGTATAAATGTTGCCATTCCTATATTAAAAATTCATATTGTCTTGGCGAGGCTGGTAAGGATCAAGAAGTTGATTTACCACCGTTGAATATTGAAACAACTACGACCACAGTTGATAAAATTGATCCTGTTAAGGATAAAGATGAAAATAGTAGTTCTAGTTCAAGTTCATCTTCATCATCAAGCTCTGAAAGTGAAGATGAAGAGAAAAAGAGCAAACAAAAGAAGAAATCGAAGAAAAAGAGTAAAAAACGTAAACAAAAAGAAAAACGCAAGTTAAAAGCACAGAAAAAGAAGAATAATAGTGATGATGATGATGATAATGATGGAAAAGATAAGTTAAAAGAAGCGCTACGCAAAGAAGAAGAACACCAGAAGCATATTGATGAAGTAATGAAGCTAGACGAACGAAAACGATCTTACAATTCAATGTACGACGTGAAAAAACCATCGGAAGAGGAAGTCGAAGCTTATTACTTGAAACGCAAACGAGAGGAAGATCCTATGAATCATTTTACATAATAAAATGTAAGGTTATGGTATGATATACAAAATGGCCGTTAATAACCAAATAATTTTTCTATTTGAAAATATTTTCGTATAAATTTGCGATATATTAGTTTGATAGCACTCTTCAAGTTGCAATAAGTTAATCACAGCCGCGTTTACATTCCCATCGCAACGTTTCGCCTGCTTTTTATGTTAATATAACATGAAAAGCAGGTGGAACGTTGATGCGAATGTAAAATTTGTCGAGAACTTGCTTGGAACTTGCATGTTTGTCGTCTGTCGTTAATGTAACAAGTTAATTTTTAAGTTAAATTGACTTTGTGTTGGCCAAATGGAGGCCATGTTGGACCATGCGATTGATTAGGTACGCTGTGTTGCGCGCGTCGTCAATACCGCAGTGTTCTTGCCCGACGAAGTTCATTTTGAGACTGTGGAGAGCGCCGATGAGGCCCATTGGTGTGTCCTTGTAGAATTCCATGTAGGTTTGACGCACGTCAATCCATTGATTGAAGTAGGACTCTTTGTAGAGACGCTTTCGCTTGCATTCTTTTTTGAGGCATGTGCCGAGATCCCAGTCGGACCATGTTGCGAACGTGCAGAGAGAATCGTTTTTCTTGTACTGGGTTGATACAAAGTCGAAATTGTGCAGTTTGGAGTTTTCTTGCACCCAAGAGTCAAATTCTTCGAGAACTGGCTCAATGGTTGATGCATTATTAACTGTGGATTGTTTGATGCCAGTGAGGGATGTGCAGAAGTCAGTGAGGATGGGATTTTCGGTGGGTTTGACGTATTTCTTGAATGTTGAGATGATTTCGCCGCTGGGGATGTGTAGCAAGACAGCTGCGAACTCAATGATTTCATTTGCTGTCTTGCGTGTCATTTTGGTGTTCCAGCAGGTCGCTTCGAAGTCGAGGACGATGAGGTAGTCGAATTGCTGGGCTGGCTTGGTCCGTGCTGGCAGATTGGGTTTTGTCGAGATTGTTTCCATTGCTCCCAATTTTCTAGTGTTGTGCAATAATTTGTTGAAATGATTTCTCAGCTGGGTTGAAATTCAAAAATTTTGAATGAAAGTACTTACAGTGCTAATTCACGCAGATCAGACGAAGTCATTGTTTCGGATAATTGTGGATTACTTATTTAATGTGTCAATTATTGCACCACATTTATTGCAATCGACTTTCAAATGTTTCAACTTCTGTCAGCGAATGGTCAGTGATGTGAAATTCATACAGAGGTTAGGTGTTGAAAATCGAGGGAAAACATATCATAAAGCATAAATTAAAGCTGTATCGGTATTTTTATACGCATTATTAAATTGCTTATGTGTGGTATTTTAATTTTTGATGAGTGGTATCAACCTTATTGCATATTTGATAAATGTTTTTGAATGTAATTAGTAGATAGTCGGTTAGATGGCGCCACGATGCACGTTTTCGGTAATAAATATTGCTTGAGGGTGGTAGTGAGTGCACACCGTGTCTGTGTGGATCACGCGATTTCGCGCAAGAGATAAGTTTGTTTACCTGCAGGTATCGAATCTTTATTTCGTGGATTCAAAACACACCGTTGCTGTTTGTTATGTTAGCATCGTAAATATTCTTCAATTCCCTCATGAATATTACTAACAATTTTATTGGATTATTATAAAAATCATCAAAAATCATTGAAATATATCATTATAATGATATATAATATTAATAAATAAATATTAATAAAAATATTATGTTTAGAATAATATTATTAATAACTTGTGTTAATGAGGAATCGAATAATTAGAATAATTCTGCAGTTATGTATGTTTTAAACAAGAAGTAAGAACAGATTTACGAAGATATTCATTTGCCTCATTGTGTGACCAGAGATGGCGCTAGAATGCAAATATTGGTATTAAATTCACTTTTAATGCATATTGTTTGTTTTCAGTGAGGTTGCGTTAGTATCAGTGAGTGGTCAGTGTTTGAGCGAACTCACCGGCTGCTTTAAAATAAATTCGCTTCAGTAAATAATACGAATTCAACGTGTTGCCGCGAATTAATTAAAACAATACTCTGACAATATAACAATATAAATTAATTAAGTTTATTAAACATCTAAAATAATACATAGCTGAAAATGAATATCAAAATATTTTAAAACATTCTCAAATAAAATTACTCGGTTTTTTTAAATTTTACAACTCTATAAACTTTACGATTCAAAACAAGTCATGTTTCATCCACACACAATCACATTAACGAGTTTCATAACCTCGCCGACGGTCGAACACTGTCAGAATAGTATTTATCAGAATAAAACAGCTGATAAACTCAGCAAAAATGAAAACATACGTGATTAACTGAGAAGTAAATCGGCTAAAAATGGGTAACGAGCATTCGCAAATGTCTGGATTGAACGTGGAAGAGAAAGCCATTGAAGTGACGGATTTCTGGTCGCATCACTCCGCGACTTTAAACACAGGTAACTCAAATGTTTCCACTGTTTCGGTGTTTATCGGTGAGCCCTTGGTTGGAGGATCGCTGTGGATGACGCAAACGCCTCTCGAGAAAGCAAGCAAAGTAAGTTTTCATATTCATAATTTAAACTATATTACAAGCATGAAATTGAATTATTTTTGTGATTTCCTCAAAGAACTTAATGCTGCATCGCCATCCTTGTATTCTAAAATATGTGAGCTCATGGAATAAAGGCTCAAAATACTATCTCGCCGTTGAGAAAGTTCGTCCACTCTCGCATGTACTACAATCACAATCAGTGCTACAAATCTGTATCGGTTTACATTCCATTCTGAAAGGATTGGTGTTCTTACATGAGAGAGCATTAGCATCACATAATAATGTATGCACTGCTTCAGTGTATGTCACCAAAGATGGCAGTTGGAAACTTGGGGGCTTGGAATACCTTTGTAAATTTAAAGATATTAACAATGAGTATATGAGGAAGGCAAGAGGCCATAGATATGAAAAAGCAATTGATCCCAATGAAGATAAACTGTTGGCTAGTAAACAATTGGATTTTATTGATATCTATGCATTTGCAGTGCTTGTCAATGAAGTTTTCAAGCATATCAAAGGCAACAAAGATGGTAAAATCAATTTTTTTAATTTAATCCTCAAAAAATCATCATTTTTGCATCTCTTTTAGATACAATACCATTAAATCAATTTTTGGAACTGTGTAAAACTGAATTACATCATCCAGATGTCCAACAACGACCGAAATTGTCTTCGTTGCTTGACGATGGGTTTTTCAACCATGACTTTATCACAATTCATTCTTTCTTAGTCGAACTGCCATTGAAATCCGATCAGGAAAAAGATCAATTTTTCAGTACATTAATTCCACGTCTAAGGAATTTTAAACAACAAATTGTAGCGAAACAACTTGGTGGTTTACTTTTATCACGCATGGTTTTGTTGAATAAAACAGCGCAGACCAAAGTAATTCCAGAGGTTTTAAATCTGAAAGACAACAATGACGATGCCTTATTTGATGTTTCCACGTTTAGAGAACACATTGTTCCGATTCTTCTAGAAATTTTCTGTGTGCGCGACGCGCAGATACGACTTTACTCTTGGAATATTTTAATAATTTCATTGGTTGCTTCACACAGGAACAACTACAGAATAAAATCTTACCAGAGGTATTTTTATTATTAAATTAATTCTATTATAAATTAAATTTATTATTAAAATAATTATTTTAGCTGTTGTTAGGAATCAAAGACACTAATGATCATCTAGTCGCTGTTACACTTCGGTCGTTAGCAGATTTAGTACCAATGTTGGGATCAGCCGTGGTGATTGGTGGAAAACGCGCGAAATTGTTCAATGATGGTCTCCCGATTGCGCATAAACCTTCATCTGGATCTCGGCGAAGTTCCGCGCGTGTCAGTTTACATCACATTCCTGCAATTACATCACAAAATGAGAGCGATGTGTTGAGTAACAGTTCCGGGACAGAGATTCCCCCCGATTTGATTCTTAATGAGCGGCCATCTCCTGATGGTGAAGAAGGTGACACCTCAACCATCACAGATGAAGGACTGGAAGATAATCAACTTGACGTTGAAGATAGCGTAGGTTTTCCAAATAACGAAGTCTGGGATGATTGGGATATAAACGATGTGGATAATAATGATGCGACTTCATCACAGGGCGTTGATAATATTGATAGTATTACAAATTTTGTACAATTGTCATCAATGAGTTTAACGGGGAGTCCAAACGATCAAAATGGTAATACACATGCAAATCATAACAATCGCAAGGCAGAACTGCCTGATATACTTGAACTAGATATAAAAAATGTTAAGAATGGCGAGAATTCCGAAGAGTTTGACTTTTTCCAAGACATGGAACCCGTTATCAATACGACAAGTAAGTTTTTAATTAGTGAGGATGTAAAGGCGATGCAGGAGGATGAGTCGGACGGTTATCGGAATAAAAAGATTGTGGATGTTAGTCATACCAGCGCAGCGAATATCAGTAGTACGCTCGATTGGAGTGTGAATGTCAACGCGGAACATCAGGAGGAAGGATGGGGCGATGACTTGGACGGATGGGATTAATGTTTTATTTGTTATTTGATTAAATAATATTTAAAAATACATGTGTGATGAGTTTATTTATTGGGATAGCCTTCAGCGCTTGCCTTTGATTTATGGAGTTACGGGATGATTTTACTCAGTTTGACTAAATATTAATTTCTTTTAGTCTTGAAAAATATAATTTGGAAACAAAAGTTTTTTTTACAGAAGATTTAATACAATGTTATTTTGAGTGTGTTATTTTAATCAAGTTTTGTTGTAGAACATTCAGATTTGAATTAATTACATAGTTTGATTTCATCAATTTTTAAACATAAAGTTATATATTGTGTTATTATATGAGCCGCTTATTTTGAAAGTGGCCTAACTCCATTTATCTTCAAATCGAGATATTGAAAGTTTTGCGTTTCAATGAATTTAAAAATATACGTATAAGATACAAAGGAGTCATACTGCTTAAGCGTATCTTAGGATGTTAAATTTACTGTTCCTGTTAAAGTAGTGGCAATTATTAAGTAAATAACGTGCGTTTCCTTATCGAGAATGGAGTTGGGCCACTTTCAAAATTAACAGCCAGATTCATTATAAAATTTGAAGATGCCCAAGTCCATTCAACATAATTTAAGATGTTTCAAATTGAAGAAAAAAAAACGTCTTCGTTTCACAGGCAGCTTCGTGAAGTAATACATTTTGTTTGTTAAAATCTGCCAAACCCCAAAACTTCTCAAAAATATTCTTTCTTTCTTCTTCATTATAATTTTTTGTGCACGCATTCCGACAACCACAATCTCTGGTTCGAAATTTTTTTCATGAAGAATACTTCCGGTTTAACAGCAATATCTTTTTCCTGAATTCCGTTTTATCTTTCGCACTTTTTGGATATATGGTGCATCAATCTTTTCTCCATTGTTATTTGAATCTTCATCCTCTGACGAGGAATATTATTTTATAACTCTTTTTCTTATTCGCTTTTTTTAAATTATTAATTACTATTTCTTTTTCACTATCTGAACTAAGTGGTCTTCTTCGGTTCTTCCTCATGCTTGCAATAATTTCTATAATTTAATATTAAATTTTAAGTTTTATATTAATTAAACGTACAGGTTAATTAACTAACGCAATTGTCCCAAAAATGAGGTGGACTTGTAAATACTAATTAATTGAAATTACCTTCATCGCTGCTTTCCGACATTATCAATAGTAAATACCTTGATGTAACTATAAATGGAGTTAGGCCACTTTCAAACCACACGGGTCAGTTATTCAATTAATTCGGAAAACCTATGTGTAAAAAATGTACCGTATTTTCTCTGAATATAAGCAATCTGAAGTGCGTCACTGATAAATAACATGAAGTTGTACATGTAACCATGGTAACCGGCAAAAAATTGAAAAACGGAGTTAGGTCACTTTCAAAATAAGCGGCTCATATATTGTGCTGTTTTACAATGAAACGCGGCCCGATTGACGTGACGTATAGATCTTATCGCTGCGGAGTGCGGGCCGACGGGTAGTCTTATCGCGTGTTGTTGTTTATCGTGTCGTCTCTGCTTTCTCGGCTCTCTCAGCAGAATGCGGGCAGTCTCGCGCCGGTTCGCACGCGGTGTTTGCATCTTAAAACATTTGGGCTAATTAGCATTCGGTGAATCGCGTTTTCGCTAATCGCCCATCGCGTGTATCTATTGTGGAATGTTTGTGAATGTGTTTGCTTGACTGTATTGGGTGTGCGTGCGCGTGTGTGAGTGTGATGCAGTCGGCTATTGATGTAATTGATGTCTGGTAGGTCTTAAATATTTATATTATTTGTTTTCATTAATTCTTTCTTTTATAATTGTTTTTTTGCATTAACAGTTCTTGTATTAAGCTCGAAATTTGCAAGCGTTTGCGTACTAGGACGTAGATAGTGCGGGCAAACGGGGCGTCATAACCTGGGCGCGATGTCTGGCGATGACGAAGTATATTTTCTAGCGGCCTTAATACATTTGTTGCATGTATATAGTAATTTCATTTTAGTTACACTTTGTATATTAGTTTTCCTTAATCAAAACTTGATCAAACCTTCTGAACGCACAGATGCGCTGGTGTCTCCTGTTCAGGGCACCGTATGAGGGTAGCTGTAGAAGTGACTCGTGTTCGGGGCACCGTACAAGGGCAGCGGTAGAAGTTATTCGGGTTCAGGGCACCGTATGAGGGTAGCGGTAGAAGTGACTCGTGTTCACGGCAGCGGTAGAAGTGACTCATGTTCAGGGCACAGTATAAGGGTAACGGTAGAAGTGACTCGTGTTCAGGGCACCGTACGTGGATGATTGTATTGCTGACTCCCATTCGCCAATTTTAATTATAAATTAAAATTTCATCTCTGTGATTTCCAATTGGAAAGTTAAATTGAACTAGCTTATTTGATGGAGAATTTTTCGTAGATTAAGGCGCTGTGATTCGTTCCTTTCTATCTCTTTTAGTTTACGAGATATTCGCAATTGAAATAAATCGTCAAAAATTGAAAAATTGCCATTTTAGCACTTTTAGTCGCATTTTTCGACTTTTACTGTTGGAAATATATTTATTTTATATTTATATCTGATAAAGAATTTTTCAATCTGTCGTAATCAGCAATTTGTTGGTTCCTATCGCTTTTAGTTTAAGAGATATTAATTTTTGAAAATCGTCGAAAAAAAGTATCAAGCACCCCCCCTTGGCAATTTTTTCTTATGAATTAAAATTTCATCTCTTAGATTTCGGTTTTAAATATTCTATCTGATAGAGATTGGTCCGTAGACTAATACGCTGCGATCAGATCTTATTTATCTCTTTTAGTTTACGAGATATTCGCGATTTAAAAAAATCGTCCAAAATTTCAAAATGTCACTTTTTAGTACTTTTAATCGCGTTTTTCGACCTTTTACTGTAGGAAATATAATTATTTTATATTTTTGTCTGATAGAGAATCTTCCAATCTTTCATAATCAACAATTCGTTGGTAGCTATCGCTTTTAGTTTAAGAGATATGAATTTTTGAAAATCGTCGAAAAAAAGTATCAAGCACCCCCCCTTGGCAATTTTTTCTTAAGAATTAAAATTTCATCTCCTTGATTTTCAGATTAAATGAGATAAATTCCCCGGGCGCGGCTAATCGCTCGTAAATCGCAAAATTTGCAAAAAATTAACGGTTGTCGGGGCGGATTGTCCCCGGGGTCCGCTATGGCTTTTAATAACTCGAATTATATTGAAAGTTGTGTGTATTCGCACTAGTACTCGTTGCGCTAGAAATTGTAGTTTTCTTGTTATAACTCGCGAACGCGGTCTCAAACTTAGTTGATACAAAAGATGCGGAATTAAATTTTCCGTCGGGTGGTAATAGTTTGTTGCCGGAATTCGCCCTGTAACCCGCGAAAATTTGCATAAAATTGTAATTTTCCATGGTTTTTTCGTGTTTGCTCGCGATCTAGGCGTCGCACTAACTTCAGCGTGGCGTCAAAAGATGCGGAATTAAATTTTCCGTCGGGTGGTAATAGTTTGTTGCCGGAATTTCCCTGTAATTTTTTCTTAAGATTAAAAATTTTATCTCACAGATTTCCGTTTTAAGTATCCTATCTTATAGAGACTAGTCCGTAGATTAAGATGCTGCGATCAGATCTTAAATATCTCTTTTAGTTTACGAGATAATCGCGTTTGAATAAAATGGGCAAAAATTGAAAATGTCACTTTTAGCACTTTTAGTCGCGATTTTCGACCTTTTACTGTAGGAAATATAATTATTTTATATTTTTATCTGATAGAGAATGTTCCAATCTTTCATAATCAGCAATTCGTTGGTTGCTCTGGCTTTTAGTTTAAGAGATATTAATTATCAAAAATCGTCGAAAAAAGTATCAAGCACCCCCTTGGCAATTTTTCTTAAGATTAAATTTTCAACTCTCAGATTTCCGTTTTAACTAACCTATGTTATAGAGAATAGTCCGTAGATTAAGATGCTGCGATCAGATCTTAAATATCTCTTTTAGTTTACGAGATATTCGCGTTTGAATAAAATGGGCAAAAATTGAGAAATGTCACTTTTTAGCACTTTTAGTCGCGATTTTCGACCTTTTACTGTAGGAAATATAATTATTTTATATTTTTATCTGATAGAGAATGTTCCAATCTTTCATAATCAGCAATTCGTTGGTTGCTCTGGCTTTTAGTTTAAGAGATATTAATTATCAAAAATCGTCGAAAAAAAGTATCAAGCACCCCCTTGGCAATTTTTTTTAAGATTAAAATTTCATCTCTCAGATTTCCGTTTTAACTATCCTATCTTATAGAGAATAGTCCGTAGATTAAGATGCTGCGATCAGATCTTAAATATCTCTTTTAGTTTACGAGATATTCGCGATTGAATAAAATGGGCAAAAATTGAAAAATGTCACTTTTTAGCACTTTTAGTCGCGATTTTCGACCTTTTACTGTAGGAAATATAATTATTTTATATTTTTATCTGATAGAGAATTTTCCAATCTTTCATAATCAGCAATTCGTTGGTTGCTATCGCTTTTAGTTTAAGAGATATTAATTATCAAAAATCGTCGAAAAAAAGTATCAAGCACCCCCCCTTGGCAATTTTTTCTTAAGAATTAAAATTTCATCTCTCAGATTTCCGTTTTAACTATCCTATCTTATAGAGAATAGTCCGTAGATTAAGATGCTGCGATCAGATCTTAAATATCTCTTTTAGTTTACGAGATATTCGCGTTTGAATAAAATGGACAAAAATTGATAAATGTCACTTTTTAGCACTTTTAGTCGCGATTTTCGACCTTTTACTGTAGGAAATATAATTATTTTATATTTTTATCTGATAGAGAATTTTCCAATCTTTCATAATCAGCAATTCGTTGGTTGCTATCGCTTTTAGTTTAAGAGATATTAATTATCAAAAATCGTCGAAAAAAAGTATCAAGCACCCCCCCTTGGCAATTTTTTTCTTAAGAATTAAAATTTCATCTCCTTGATTTTCAGATTTAAATGCTTATTTTATAGAGAATTGTCCGTAGATTAAGACCCTGCGATTCGTTCCTTTCTATCTCTATCTCATTGTGGTTTTAATCATTATAATACGTCTAGACTCTTGACAATGTGCTAATTTTGTGTCAAAGTTGATCGTAGTAGGAAATATTACTTTGTCTGGAAAACACACCATATATCTTGTACCAATGGAGCAAATTACAACATCTTGTGCTCATATAATACTTAAGAGTTCCTTAATAACTTACGCATCTTCCTGACCCTTTCAACCTTTTACAAGTGTTATAAAAATGGCTTACAAATCGACATTATTTTCACATTTTAAAAGTTGTCTTTAGCTAACAACCTGTATTTCGTGAACTAATACACATTTTGTGCGTTTCTGAAGGTCATGTTATAGTTTCAGAGACGCTCTACATGTTAATTGACAATATGTACTGCATACAAAAGTGGAAACACGTGGAAACATTAATTATTGATTATAATAGTCTAAATTGTGGGACTAGTATTTGTCGCATTTATAGATGCGGCTTATACGGCTTATTTTTATATTTATCGACAAGCGGGAGCACGAGAATAGTTTTGTATACAATGCTGTTATCTGCGATTCGGTGTAAACAACGTTTTCAACGCATGTATTCCGCGCGTTGTCTCCTAGCGCCGCAAGGTCGCGTGCCTTCGACGCGCCGTCTTTGCGCACCTCTTGCTTTCTTATCTTATACTGTCCCGTCGTTGTTTACGCAGTTTCGGCATGCACTATCGGTGGATTGCAGCCAGTTTTGTGCCGGTCGCTGGTTAATCCAGTCATATTTTGAGAGACTTATATCGTTTATTCGGACTTCAATATTCTATATTTGTGTTGTATACTCGAAGATCAATCGACTATTAATTTATTTGTACTTTGCGACTATAGTAATTTGTTTAATGTTCGGAAATGTCGGTTTTTGATCGTGTTTGTTATGTATATTACAAGTCATGTGATAGTGAATTTGATAACACTCTTCACTCGGCATTGTGTTTTGTGTCGGTTACTAAATTAATCGGATATATAATGCCCCCATGTTGATTCGCATCATTAAGAAAGATCCATCAGGCTCGTGTAAGTATTTTTTAACCAAACAGCACAGATTGTTTATTTTATGTTGATTGTTAATTAAAACATAATTCAAATGTAAGAAATATTTTTGTTTTAATTTATGTTTTCGCTTAGTTACAGCACTCGTTGCGCATGGCAGTCCGATAAGCTGTACACTGGTAGGTTTATAATTCAATTATTTTTTTCGGTAAAATTTATCACGTATAACCTACCTGCAGGGCCAATGAGAGGGGGTTAAATGGGATAAATTCCTTCGGGCCCGGCTAATCGCTCTTAAATCGCAAAATTAGCAAAAATTAACGGTTGCCGGGGCTCGCGGATTGTCCCCGGGGTCCGCTATGGCT